TAAGACCCAGCCATGAGCTCACTAATTTTGCATGTAATTCAGTTAATTTGAGCGTTCTGGTCGAAGCCGGAGAACAGTAGCGTTTTTGTCAGCCTGATGTAAGAAAGACCACCGAAAAGTACTGGCTTGGTAGAGACGGTGAAAAACATGCAAAGCTCTGTTTAGACGCTAGCCAGTCGTCTTAAGACTTAGTTTTGTTATCCGTCGATATGTATCTTCCGGGCGAATGTTACAGAAGTTTCGTTTTTGCCGCGCGTGATCACTCGTTTGCATAAACTTAAATAATAATAATAATAATAATAAAACAGAATTTAGGATACATCCATGGGAGTTAGCTCCCTGAATCAAGTCTAAATGATGAGGTCCAAATATGCTGAATTCATCAATCAATTGTGCTGAATCCATATCTTGGCATTGAATGCTAAGGGTATCTTCCTGTAACATAGCAAAATTGAAAATTAGCTGTGATTTGGGATACGCCTTCCATGTTGGAAGGCTTTCACTTTTCGAGCAGATTTCAAATACTTGAGATGAGACCACACTTCTTAACAAAGTTTATAATTAAGATTCACCACATTTACTATTGAGTATCAAATTCACTTGTGTAGGATAATTTCTTTCGTATTATTTGCTATGAAATCTGCGCTCGGAATCAGATCAACTAGTGGTTTTTGTTGACAGATACAGATAAGCCCTATGACACCAGATGAGGACGATGTCGTCTTGTCTTACTACGATGCTATTGTAACTGTGAAAGATGTGCAATCGTTAAGGCATAGAAACTGGCTTACTGACAACATCATTAATTTTTTTGTTGAATACATAATTCGATGTAGACTTCAAAATGATGACAAGAAAAAAAACTTGGAAGACTCTGTCTTAGTAATGGGTCCTAGTGTTGTTCAGATGCTCAAATTTTTTGAGCCATCCGATTTTGCTGCACTTGACTGCCTCGGATTGTCATCAAAATGTCTCATTCTACTCCCTCTAAATGATGCAGAGATAGATGAAAACGGCAAGTAGTTCAGTAAAAAAAATTGACCGTTTTGTTTTCAGGACTTATACACTACGGGTTCAGAAATCCGAAATGAAATTATTCTTCATGTTATGTTTGATTTTGATATGCGATTTGATTGGTAAAGACACTTTTTTGTCAGAATTTATCTTCTTTGATTAGAAATTGAATTATGAATAAAAATGTTTTTCTTGGCAAACAAAACAGAATTTCTTTCAAATTGAACAAACTTGATAGTGGTGGTTAGTCATGACAAATGTTGACCTTTTGCAAATATGACCCGTTTATCTCCCAGTTTATCATCTTCGTGAGAAGCAAGTGTGTTGCAACCGGGTAGTAGACTTTTTCACGTGAAGAACTTCGGGGTTTCACAAGATTTTGCTCGTGAAAAAGTTAAGCGTGTTTCAACTTGATTTTTAATAAGTTCAAAGTCAATCCACTATTGAGAGCACCTGGAGATAATTATACTGGAAGTTTTTGCAGAATTTAGTTTTTTTTGAAGGATTTCAATAATTTTTTTTCTTCGAATTCTGCTTCTTCGAATAATTTGCACGGTTTTATTACGCTTGCGCTATCAATTCGTAAGATGGACTTTTACACAACTTGTCCAAAAGAATCACTGAACCAGTTTTACGCTTGCGACTAGCAAGTTTTATTAAATCGGAATGAAGACTATTTTTGGGTTAACAACTAGCTTAACTAAATCATTTGGATCATTTATGATTCTGCTGACATGTTTAATTTCGTGTCTAATTTAATTTAATTTAAACTACGGATTGCTAGTTACTACTGGTAAATACTATATCTAGAACTCAAACCTTTCTATGAATATTAAAAGAGACTTTTGAAAAATATAATTTGCCCTCGTAAGCAGTGTAATAAACATGAATTTTTTTTATTATTTGTAAAAACATCTTTTTTGGCTTTTTAATTCTTTAGGTCGAAACTTTGGTCGAAACCTTTGACGTTTAGGTTGCGCAACCTGCAGCAAATTGGAATTTTAAGTTTTTTTTCTACCTAATTTTAACAAAATCCTTAAACTATATGTTCACATACCCTAATAGTATATCAAGTTTGAAGTACCAATTTATCTTATTTAGTTAGGAGATAACGTCTATGTCTAAGACCAAGGGTATTGTTTCGATAGTGTCCAATAGCTGTTTTTTTTTATAAGGTGAAGTTTAATTATCAGACTAATTTTTCAGCTTACTTTTTAGGGAGCGGTGGTGAAGTGGTTACGTCTCCGCCTCTCAATCGAAAGGTCGGATGTTCGAGGCCCACCATGATCCGTGGTCGTTGCTTGAGGATGAGGCAACATTACCCAGCCCAGAAAAATAACCAAAAAACTGCACGTAGTTCTTAAGCAGGGGCACAACAGCGGATCGCCATCATGAGCTGCAAAGCTCGTATGTTGGTCCTTTTCCTCATGGAAAAATGGTCTTAAACCATCCAATTTTTTTCCGGTTGAAATGATTTTTCGTAGAAGTGAAAAACTTTTTGATTTTCTGTTTTTTGTAACGGTTTATCTCAAAATGTTTATCCGTCGTAAAGGATTTGGGAAAATGTGGTATCGACTTAGTCACCTTAGATTAGTTCCGTTCAAGGGCGGGCAAAGTAGAGGTTCAGGTTTTTGTGTTTCAGGAGGGGGGTAAATCTTTGAATTGAAAAACTTTGTAGCCCAAAATGTTTGTGGTAATTTTTTCTTATCGGTTCAACGATAATCTTCGCAAGTTTTGTCGTCTTAGGTGGCGCACGATGATTTTTTCTAAATGATAATTTTGCGCTGTCGATTGTTTTTCTCGGAATTTACCTCCTAAAAGTGATCATCTTCCAAAGCAAACGTATGTTGTTTTTATATATGTTTCAAGAGGATTTCTTTCCTACATCATACTGGCCTCCGCCCCAATTTCTTCTTCCGAATTGCATTGCTTGTGTTGGAGGCTCTGTTTTGCCTCGTTGTCCTTCAATTGATGTAACGGAAGTGGTGCGAGGCTCAGCTTTACCTCTGTGTCTAAAAGATACATATTTGCAGCATGTCTGCTTTTCAAATACCCGTTCTTTACAATGTTTTTTTTTATAATGTTGGCTTTATGTTTACCCATTCCGGTACGATATAATTTCTTTTTTTTTGCTTTTTAAACAAGCAAAGCTTGTGTGAAAGTATGAACTCTCTTTTTTTCCAACCTAAGAAGCAAATATTAATGTTGATTTTAATAGTGTTCTTTTCTGCAGTATGTGCATAATATCAATAACCAGCTATTAAATACAGCCAATGCTAAGGATATTAATACACTATTATATTACAAATAGAATTTCAGCTTCAAGGTATCATGGATCTCTAGCGCAGAGATAGGGAAGGAGACCCGCAACAAAATAAGAAGTTCGAACCTGCGCAGTTTCGGATGTCTTAAATGATTTTTTTTTTCGTATACCAGTTAAAATGCGTCCGCTCTATAAATTGAGGCATGTTAGTTGGTATTTTTTAATCAAAATGACTGGTACTGCTAATGCCTCATAATTGGCGTGTGTCACCTATGTAGACTCAAAGTTTTACTCGTTCAGTTTTTCCCAGAAGCGTTATCGGTCATATTTTTGCTTGTGCATGCGAAGTGCAACTTCGACGCTGTGTTGTTAAATCGGCTTAACAGTTTTTCGTCTTATAACATTATTGGCTTAAAGGCTTCATTTTCCATCGTTAGATGAGCGAAACAAGTTTCTTTTGCGTGTGATTTTTGGAAGAGGTATCTTTTTCAAACGATATCAAGTTTTTTATGAAAGGATTTTTTTTGGCTGAAATAGTGTCTGATCAAAAATTGTCGGCGTTGTTACCCCTTCGTTAGTTTTGTTTCGATGTAAATTTGGCTTTCAGTAAATTTATTTGAGACAAATATTTGAAAAAATGGTAGGTGTAGCCTTTCTCGACACTTTCAATTCTAGCGTCTCAATTTCTCACTGCTAGCTTGCCATGCTATGTTTTGTCTCAGCTTTATTTTCTGCTGTTTCGTCTCTGCGTCAAATATATTTTTTTTTGTATGTAATCAGTGCTTTATATTATTGTTCAGCATAAATGGGTTGATTTGTTAATGGGCGTTTTACTGCTAGCTTAAAATAATATGCTGTTTGAAAGTAGCTGTAATTCACAGGATCCCATTGGTCTCTGCTTGTGTACGTTGCCCTGAAGCCAAAAGAGGAAGGACTCTTTTATCACTTGGATTCAATGGGAGGAAGAAACACGCAAACTGCCAACGGTATCTGCGAAGTATTGGGAAAATATTTATGCGGAAGTGAGCTGGCGCCATTGACTCCTTCCGACGTAGGACAACAATCAAACATGTTCGACTGCGGGATTATGGTCATTCTTTTCATAGACTACATAATATCTTTCTTCGCCAAGTACAGAAGTTTTGATACAGAGTTTAAAAATTACAAGTACAATCTCAAAGATTGTCGCTCGAAGCGAGAAGACTTGATGAAGCTGGTCCAAGAACTGCACGAAGCGGACGAAAAATAGATTGTTGAGCTTTTTGAAAAATAGACGGCTTTTGTCCCAAATTTATATCGCCCAAACTGTATAAATGTTGTTTTTGATGTCGATGTAAATATATTTTATTGTTGCCTCCTTGAGCATGCTTAGTGGAGGGTTGCTGCTAAAACATGGTACTAAGTGTCATCTAGATGTAGCCAATAGATGTATCAACATCGGTGCTAGCTATACTTCAAATTAAAAGTAGAATGTTTCTATTTTTGAACATTTAAATAGACACTGAGGCGCACTCGAATCAAATTGGCTGAACAAAATGGATTACTTTGCCGTGATTAGCATACATGTCAGACAAAAATAAGAATGGTTCTTATTTCCATTAAGTGAAACAGTATTTTTTTTAAACAGGAAACAAATTTTCAAGGCCTATAAAGAAACCCACCAAACCAGTTTTGTTGTTAGCTCTGAGTTAATGCTCTTATACACGTTTTCTTTTGCAGATGAAAAATGAGCAGACTTGATCGTTCTAAACTGAACCCGAACTTCGTGAAAAGCAAGCGAAATGCAGATGCTAGTGTTGAAATGTTCAGCCCAGACGTGAACGGGTTTTCGGATGGTCAATTGGGCGAAGCAAAGTCAATACCTCAAGCTATTTTGAAACGAGCTGCCACAACAGGAAATCTAATCTTCTCAAATAAAGGACTAACCTCAGTTCCGCCTGAAATTTTCAACCTGGACGAATCTATTGTCAGAGATGAAAACACGAAATGGTGGGAGTTCACAGATATCGTCACTGTAGATCTCTCGTCCAATCAGATTGCAGAACTGCCTCCGCAAATCTCTAATCTGATGGCTCTGAAGAAATTGGACATACATGATAACTGTTTGACCTTCTTACCTCATGAATTAGGGCAGTTGCAGAATTTGAATAGAGTAGATCTAAGTAGAAATAAAATATGCAAGCCGCTCCCTGATACATTTGGGTCTTTGAGAGCACTCGTCCAATTGAACGCCAATAATAACAAATTGCCGTCTTTTGGGTTGAATGATGAGATGCCGCCAAATGTTGGACAGCTGGATTTGTCGTTCAATGATTTGAAAGAAGTTGACAGAAATTTCGCGCTTATGAAAAAGTTACAAGATTTGAACCTGTCGCAAAACAAAATCGTAAAAATTGCTGCAGAGCTGTCGTTATGCACAAATTTGCAAGACCTAGACTTATCCTACAATCAGCTATCTGCAGTTCCAACTGAACTCGGCTCTTTGCCGGAACTTTTGAGGTTGAATTTGAACAATAATAGGTTGACCACCTTCCCTAAGTTTACGGCAACGAAGAAGCTGAGAGAGTTGTTGCTGAATTCGAACAAGATCGAATCGATGCCAGAAGAAAACATTGAGCCTCTGTCTGGATCTTTAGAGATACTGTTAGTTGCGGATAATCAGATCAAAAGTTTGCCCGCAAATTTTGATACTCTGGAACAACTGGCGAGTCTGGATGTTTCGTGTAATAACTTGAGCACGCTACCTGACAGACTTGGACTGCTGAAGAACTTGAAGAATCTGAAGGTTGATGGCAATCCGATGAGGTCCATTCGCCAGGACGTTCTCAGAGGGGGTCCGGGAGCGGTTCTTAAGTTCCTGAGGAACAGGCTCCCATTAGACCAAATTGACTCAAACAAGGTAAACGTTTTCAACATTTATCTTGTTACAGAAATAATTCAAATGAAAATATATTCTGGAAAGTTAACTGTTTGCGTTCGATAGTTAGTTATAGTCTCTTACACTCGATCTTTTGTAGGCAACAATTGAAGAAAGATTCATAACAGACAGCAAAATCCTGGACTACTCAAAAAGAGGAGCGACTGAAGTTCCCGACAACATTCTGATTGACGCAGAGGTCAAACGGGTTCAAGGGGTCAACCTAGAGCAGAACAAGTTCTCGAACTTATCCGTAGGCTTTACAATGTTAAAACATTCAGTGGTCGAGTTAAACTTAGCCAGTAATCTATTCACAGTCTTGCCAGAAGTTATTCCACATTTCTACAATTTGCAGAGTTTGAAGCTCTTCAACAATCGCCTTACTGATTTACCAGAAACGATGATAAACCTGACTTCGCTTATAGAGTTGAATGTAAGCGGCAACCAGCTTTCGCAAGTGCCTCCTGTAATTTACTCTCTGAAAAGTCTGCAGTCGCTATCCCTGGCTGATAATCGAATAACAGACGTGGATCCGGTTGCTCTGAAGGCGATGACCAAACTTGACACTCTCGATCTGCAGAATAATTACATCAAAAGGGTTCCTCCTGAATTGGGACTGTGTGAACAGCTGAAAACTTTGCTTCTGGTTGGAAATCCGTTCAAACGACCGACGTTCGCTGAGCTGAATAAGGGAACAGTTTTTGTTATGGAAAAGCTTCGAAACCAAATTGTGACTTAACATTTTAGAGTGCTAATAGTTGTGCTACTTAAATCATATAGTTGTGACAGAAATTGACTTGATAATTGTACATATTCATTCATTTAGATTGGGTCATTTAATGGAATGACTCGTGACTCGTAATAAAATTCAAAGAATATTGGTTTTGAAATGAAGAAAGTGGGAACATTTTATTCTGGTTTTAAAACACACGAACAGTTTCGAGAGTATTCAACTTTGGCCTGATTTCAGTTAGCGATGAATTAATGTCGAAAAAAGTTGGATCGCGGAAGCGTTTGAACTCGACAAGTACTGATTTTGACTCTCTGTTGCCGAAGTGGCCTTGTGTTGAGCCGTATTCCTTAACTGACCCCCTTGGGTTGGAAAAAGTGAAGAAAGATGTGGAAGGGAGCGAGAAGAGAAACAAGACGAACGAGTCTGGACGGCCGAAGAGGAGGAGGAACAGTTCCTTCTCACATGGCAGCAAAAGGGTGAAGTCGAAGTCAGCTGAGAAGTCGCGAAACACAGATGATGAAGAGGCAGCAAAGCACAGCACATCTTCATCCTCGAAAAAGTACAAAAGGTTGTGTTGGTAATTTATTTCACTCATCTTGTAATGATGTAAATATTGTTAGTGAAAGCTGTTTTCTGAGATGTATGGTGTAGTATAGGGGGAGCATTTATAAGAGAAACTTAAACAAGGTTATAAAGATATGAAAGTTAGTTTCTGTTTGGTGTCTTTTGATGCGTGTTTTCCCTGAAAGCCTGAGAACTTGGAAATTAGAATAAAAATTTTGATAAGGAAATTTTTTTAGGAGAAAATCGCAGAGCGCAGAAAAAAGAAGTGCTCAAAATGTCTCCAGCCTCCTCGAGTCAAGACCGACCTTAGATCGATTCCAGTACGGAAACTACAAAAATATTAACACTGCAGTATCAATTGACATTATAGAGCAAAGAATGAAGATTTTTAGAAGGTTCCGACGTTTATTCGAGAGTAGATCAGTGCTTGATGTTGGCTGCGGAACTGGCGATCTCCTACGTGCATTATCATCTCTCGGGTGCTCACGACTCCTAGGAGTTGACAGGGACTCCTCATTGATTCGCTCGGCCAACAATGCGTCGCAGAAATTTCTCAAGCAAAATTCAAGTGTCAATTTGTCATTTAAGGTCCACAATTTTGTACCTCCGAGTAGCTACGATACTTCAAAGTATTACCCGCCGACGTTACTGGATTCACAGGCGGCCGAGTATGATTGTGTAATGATGCTCTCAGTTTGCAAGTGGATCCATCTGACATACGGTGATTCCGGCATTAAAACGTGCTTTAACAAAGTGCATCGACTCTTGAAAAGAGGCGGTGCATTTATTCTGGAACCGCAAATGTGGCCTTCATATAAAGATAGTAGAAAAATAAATGACGCAATGTTCCGCAATTTCAATTCCATTGAATTATTTCCGAATAAATTTCCCAAGTTTCTAATAGACAGTTGCCAGTTTTCTTCCTACCATCTCATCGGGGACATTGAGAAGCGAAAAAAGAAGTGGAAGGGTAAAAAAGAGGAAAAGACGAAGACGCCGGCAACTACGACTTACAAGAGACCTGTCTTTGTTTTCTATAAGCTGTAGTATAGAAATGGAAAGATTGATTATTTAATACAGTTTTAGGTTACAGAATAAAGTCTTCTTTCTTTTAACTTGTGTTCGATTTTTCATGGTTGAAATGAACAGAGGTTGCTTATCGTTTTAATCAATATTGCAAAATGTACGAATTGGTAAGTTTGCTTGCTAATTCTTAGTTGATGCTAAAATGTTGATATGAAATCTATGAGCTAAAATGTATCCGATTAAATTGTCGTCGATTTGTGCTAATTTTTGTCCCGAGCGCATTTCTTCAATCAGAAGGGAGGAAATATGACCGCCTAGGGTGAACGCTGTTTGTCGCTGATATTTTAGATGCCCCAAATACCGATCTTGGGAACACTAGAGTGATTTCGTATAAAAAGCCATTTCAGTCGAGATACGGATATCAAAACAATACAAGACTGCTCGTATCAGGGCGAAGCCCTGAATGTTCCAACTGACTCATAAGGTTTTATGGAGCAGTAATAACATTAAAAAATTAAATGTAATAAAACAAAACGAAATTTTTTTTCTTCTAAAATTTGAAATTTTTAATGAAAATCATCCCCCCACACGCCATTTAAAGTACAAAAGGATAGATTTCGCTCTTTGTAACAAATCAATTATGCCAAACAAGCTTCTTTCAACCAACTTGGAACGATTTTAAGACGGATTTACTCTCCGCTTACGCGTTAATAGCGCGAAATATATCGCGCGTTAATTGTCCCAAATTGGCCAAAATGGCAATCTTTAAACCGCTGTAACTTTACGAAAAATGATCACAGGTGAAATATCTTTTCAAATTTGAGCTCAGAACAACAATGCCTTTCGAATGATGTAAAAAAATTCCGTCAAAAATGGCTAGTTAAAAAGTCGAAATTTGTCTGAAGAAAAAAAAACCCACCCCGAGCACAAATATTCCGTTACTTTCGTATCGAAAGTCGGAACAAAAAGATTTTGAAACACTGGTGTGATGTTCGCTTCTCAGACTAATGACCACTAAAGTAGTAGACGGGAAAATAAGCGGCAGTGGGTTGATTTTGTTCTTTATGTCTTACATAGTTTCTAAGGTTTATGTTTGACATAATTAGTTTGTGGTTAACCATCTTTTGTCATCATCAAGAAAGATTGTTATTTGAATGTTCTGATTTCGCTTTCCGACCACGAAGTGGCGTGGAGTTTTGTGAGCGGGTGTTTGTTATTTGTTTCCAAGCAGCATCTGGTTATACAAAAAACGTCAGATGGTTTTTTGAAGAATTTGATTTTTGAGCCCTTTCAATCGTGATTCGATTAACACCGAAAAAATTTATATACAAAAACGGTTTCTTTTCGAAAAAGTACCAATTATTTTATGTGCCGATTAATATATTTTCAAATGTTTTTACGCTTGAGGCTAGCAAGCGTTATCAAATCAATCAAGATATAGACTTTTTTTTACCATATAGACTCTCAACAAGTTACCAACTTGTTAAAGAGTCGATGAACTAGTTCAGACTCTTTTTTAGGTGGCGATGATTTTTTTTCGTTTTTCCTGTCGGAAGAAGTCTTGAAATTTGTTCAGGCTCAAAAATACTTTTTCGCGGTTTGTCTTTTGATTTTTTTAAGTTCAGTTCATTTCCTTTGTGAAAAGGAAGCCAAATTCCACTATCGAACAGCAAAAGTGTAAAGGTCACAAAAATGTGATTGACTTCTAGTTCCGAAAGTGGAATTTAATTATCGAATTTGCCAGCAAAATGAAAATTTTACCTATTGGCCCAGTTTTCTCAAATTGGGTTATTTTTTATCGAAAACATGGCAATCATAAGTTGTTCTAGAATTTTTAAATAGTTTTAGGCCATCTATTTTTTTCGCGATATTCGAAAGTTGAATTTTTTTTTTCAAAAAACTAAGTCACTGATTTTTTTCTGTTTATTGACTCTTTTCGAACTATATGTTGGCTCTATTTGGATTTCTTCTGTTTTTGAAAATGATAGTTAATTAAAGGACTCAGGTTCAATTTTTTGCTTAAAGATGGGTCTAGTGAAAAGCCGTTCATTGATTTTCTTGTTACTTATAAAAACATCTTTGATTAGTGGTAATTGATATCATGTCAAATCTTTCAAGTGCATTATCCTTCATTATGTCATAGTCCAGAGACATTAATTTGTACGTAGCAGTGACAGGCTGACAAGAATGGGTTTGTTAAGCTAACAATTAGTTTACACCAATCAGAATTGATTGATCTACAGTCTAGAAAGGGTTTATTTGGTTACTACAATTTATTGTTACCACATTAACGTAAGTGAATTTTTTTAACTTCGAACTACGCTTTTTGAAGAATTTTTTTGCCCAATGTCTTGTTAGAATACTTTATTTCGGTTATTGGCCTCGGAATAGACAACCGAAAATGTTTTTTAGTAAATTGAGTTTCCTTAAACCGTAACACGCTTCGTAATTTTATTTTCACCCTTGCGATAAGCAAGGGTATTGCAATCGGGTACTAGACTTTTTCCCGTAAATAACTTAAGGCACAGATTGACCAAATGTGTAGGAATGGTAAATTTCAGTCATGCTCCTTTTCAGACATGCTCCTTTTCCGTTTTTTAAAAAATGAAAAATATTTTTATTTGGTACTGTTTTTTTCGGGTTTTTTGTTAAGCTTGGATTAAGTTTGATTTCAAATTTTTTTTTACTTTTGTTGAAATTTTGTCATTTTATCAAGTCTGGTTTTTAGTAATTTTATTTTTTATATAATTATTTTTTTTCGACTAAACTGTTTTAGCTTATAATTTATGGCATAATGAACTTATATTGTGTAGTTTAGTGGGCAAAGATTCCTGATCGACAAAATCAGGTATTATTACAATTGCGAGAGCAAGTGTCTTGAAATCGGGATTAAGTCTTTTTCAAGTAAACAACTTCTTTTACACGTTTCAACTTGCTTTTTTCTTGAACCTTCACAACCTCCAGGTTCCTTCCCACTTAGCCTAAAGTTAACGCCGTCGCGTTTGTATCCTAAGGTCTGGGGTAAGATTCTCGGCCGGACCTTGTTTGTTAGTATATGTAATTGAAAAAAAAAAACATTTCTGTAAAAATTGAATTGTTGTACTTCTGTTATTCTGCTAAAATTTTGTCGGCTTAGTTGCAACATCAAGAATTTTGTTATTTCCTTAAGAAAATTTCAATGCATGTGCAAGTGTTGTTTTTTGTAGGTTTAGGGAAGTGGACTTGAAATTTTTAAATTTTTTTAATCAATCTGTTTTTCGGTGTCTGCTCAAATATTGTCGCCTTAGTTGCCACATTACTGATTTTTCTTGTGCTTTAAGCAACTTCCTCTTGTAGTTGAAAGTGCAAGTATTGTTCATTCTAGTCTCAGGTGATGCTGAAAACTAACGATTTTTTTATGAAATCATTTTTTTCTGCCAACTTGTCTCTGCTAACAGATTGCCGGCTTTATTTTCTCTTTGTAAGTTTTGTTCCGTTGCTAATTTAAATTTCAAGTTTCTGGCCTGGTAGCCAAGAATGAAATTCTATCGATACATGCGAAAATTTAATTATTGGTAGAACTAATTTTTTTAACGTTTCCCATTTTTTCGACGTATGTTTTAATGTTTGTTTAATCGCAAGTGGTGCGAAGCTCGGCTTCACCTCTGCAAAATTCTGTTTTTCCAAATAATTCGGAGGATAATCAGAATTTTTTTTGCATGCTATCATTTTTTGGCGCTTAGAATGTCTTGGCTTATCATAATATGCTCGAATGAGTCACATTCAGTTGAAAAGCAGCAGCATATGAGCTATACAGCCTTTTAGGAAGAATCACTGTTGTCTTGATGCTTATTTTGCAGATCTTATTTTGTGTTATTGAATCATTTCAGATCTGGAATAGTGTATGAATGAACTTTCTGTTCAGTCCGCCTGACATCGACATTCAGTTGTCGGACTCCTCCCGGGAGGGCCGGAAGACAGCGGAGGTGAAGGTGGATGACAGCAGCGGGCGGAGGGAGCGACTGCCGCTGTACTACGACGGGGAGGACATCAAAGGCAAAGTGCACTTCACCCTCAAGAACAACAAGACATTCGAACACAATGGCATCAAGATCGAGTTCCTCGGAATCATACACATGTTCAACGACAGGTTAGCCTCATTAAACATGCTTGTTAAGTTAATTAGCTTAGAAAATATTCGACAAGGGAAAGTACTAAAATATGAGCTGTTCAGTCCTTCACGGAGAATCGCTGTTGCGTGTCTGCTTGAGAAATGCATGCAAATGGATCAGTAAACAGTTGACCCATTAATTATACGGGTCTAGGACAACAAGCCGACGGGACTTCAAGCCGAAGGGACTTCAGGCCGAAATTTAAACTTTGCACGCACCTCAAATTACAATTTTTTCATATGTAAAACGTTGCTTTTCAAAAATTTAGGCAAGTTTAGTCGTCCATAATAAGCGTTATTCATGACAATGAATCACTTAGGATTGGCATTCCTTAATAATTTCAGACGGTTTTTGAAATGCATAAACTATAAACAAGAAAATTGCCTTCAACCGTGTTTTGTATTTCAACTTTCCTAAACATCATTTGGAGGCTTAAATTTTATGAAAAAGCCAATAATTACTGAAAAAAGATCATAAAAGTAGGAAATTCTTTAAAAAGGTTTTCAAATTAATCCTATTTCATCACTGAATGAGAAAATTTTCGGCTTGAAGTCCCTAATTTTACGATTGGGCTTGAAGTCCCGTCGGCTTGATGTCCGGCACCCTAATTATACGAGCGAGCGTAGTGAAGTGTTCTACGATCAGCCACTTTCTTTCAACGCAAGTCGCACATTTTTGTGCTATGTTTTTTCCAAGTTAACGCGTTCTAAATGACGCTAAGAATAAACATGCGTGATAGTAGATTGAGACATGAAGTCATAATTCACATGGTTAAGGCACGTGACTCTTAATCAGGGGATTTATGGTTCCGACCATGTCACTTGTGACGTAACTATAAGCTAGGTATGGTTTTTCTTAAGTTTGATTGACCCAAAAAAAGCTTGTATGGGCTCAACTGTGGTAACATAATAGAGCCCTATTGGTTGTGATAAGGATAAAATCTAAAAACGTTTTTTTTTCTGTGTCGTTAAAGCTGGTCTGAATATTTTCGCGGTTTTCTGACTAAAGCATACAATTTGAGTAGACGATGTCCTCCAAATCAAATTTACCTACGATTCTACGTATTTAAACAGTTCAAACGTATTTTAGCTGCTATTACCCTTCATTTTTGTTTCATTTAACACTATAACCTTTTCGAGAAAAAAATTCAAAAATTAAAAAATAATCTCGAGGTAACGAAATTTCCTGGGGCTGCAAAGGTCCTGGATTCGAATTGGACAGTACCTGTTTTTGTTTTCAAACGAGAAATATTCCGTTTCAAAAAAAATTCGGCTTTTTAATGGCCTGGTTATGTTTTGTCGGCTTATTTGCCACATCGTGGAAGTGTTTCTTTTGCTGTAAGCAGGTTGCATTGTAGTTTTGGTTTTTTGGTTTTTACTGCTGTTTATAATTTTACTAATCATGACTTCGTGTATTTTCTTTTTTTTTGGGTTTTTTTGCTTAAAAACTTTATTCTGCCCAAATGATTTCGGCTTAAATTTTATCGGCTTTTTTTTAGTTCCAAGGAAAATAATTTTTATGCTCCTCCTAGATTGCACAAAATGCTGTAAATTTCATAGAAATTATAGTTTTTTATGACAAAATTTTTTCCTGCTTGATAGGTTTCGGCCTATAGTAAATACTAATAGTTTCGGCCTATAGTAAATACTAATAGTTTTGGCCTTTTGTATCGCAAGTGGTGCTAATCTCAGCTTCGCCTCTGTGTTGAATTTTTTCTTTAATCAGTATGGTCAGCTATTTACGCAGCAACTGGATATCCTTCATTTTTAATATGTAGGTCACTTAGGGGGTTGTTAAGTTGATCCAGGTTTTTTTCATGTAAAGTGCTTTCAAAATAAGTCGTTTTCTTACACTTTCCATTTGTTTCCATTGGGCTCTGTTTGATCTTTGGGCTACATCGATTGATGATTGCACTATTGGTGATTACCTTTGTGATAAGCAAACGCTTTCAAATCGAAATATAGTGATTTTTCCGGTAAACACAGTAAAAAATCACAGTATATTTTCGATAGATATATTTTGAGAATTTTTATCGCAAATAACTGTTGTGTAATTTAAATAACTAAGCTCCGGTGTTATCTCAAATCATTTTTTCAAGAGACTAGTAAGTTTTAATCCGCTCAGACTGCAAATGGCTTCGACCTACTTTAAGTCGACGTGTATGTTCTGTTATACGGCCCAAAATAGATCATTTTGACAATTTGGAAATGAAGAATAAATGAGATGAATATGCGCAATTCTGATTGGTTGAAAATGGAACCAACCGAGACAAAAACTGGAAATCATTATTATACCGAAGCTCATTTCGCCGAAAATTTTTAAAATGACTGAAAACATTGCTCTTTAATAAATTTTAATGGAAACTGCTCAATTTTGGCCTGTCCCATAACGCCCCGAACTCTCAATAAAAACTTGAAACGGTTGAATTTTATTTGTTTGTGTTCTGTATGTTGTCAGTTATTTTTCTCAGTGAAAATTTTGAGGTGCGATTTTTCATTTTTGGGCCGTATAACGGAACAGACCCAATTCGGCTTCACATAATACTGCATCCTTCAGTTCGTGGGGACATAAAATCGTAAATTATTATCCCTGATTTCACCTCCTTTTTACCAATATTTTTTGTTCTAATCAACAAGAGTCAACATAAAATTTTGTTGAATTTTTCACTCCTCTTTTTCCATTAGCATTCAGACAAAAATTACATCGCGGTAAACTTTCTGAATGTTAATGTAACGCAGCTAATTGTTCCGACTTTCGAAAAAAGGAATATTTATGCTTGGTGTGTTTTTTTATTCAGTCATTTTTCGGCGATCGAAATAAGTTTTGAAAAAAAAATTTTTATGCCCCATGGAAGATATCGACTCCTGGAATCAAATTTAAAAAGTAATTTTACCTCCTATCATTTATTCCAAAGTTTTGGGAGTTTGAAAATTGCCAATTTGGCCATGCTCTGGACTAATTTATGTACACTTTGAAGATTTTATCCATAATCCTGAAAGCGTAACGCGATTAATTTATGCGTGAAAAATTATCCTGCTCAACAAAATTGTTCCAAATTGAATTGAGGCTAGCTAGTTGGTCGTATTAGTTTCATACGAGGCTAGCTAATTGGTCGTATTAATTTCAATCACAGTTGATCTTCGATATTGTCCAAAATTTATAGTTTTTCAATATTTTCTTTTCCCAAAAATTTATTCGATATGAATTATGGGGCAGTCGGAACATTCAGGGCTTTAACCTGACTAACGAGCAGTCTTGTTTTGCTTTTCGGCATGGTTTGCTCGAGTTAAACTTATTTTGAAAAAATACTACATCTAATAAAATCGTCATAAATTGTTTTTCTTTTTTTTTTAGTTTTTTTTTTGTCTCGTTTTTCTATGCAATGGTTGTGCCTTATTGTAAGTGGCGCGAAGCTGTATTTTGTCTATGTGTACAATATGTTTTTAGGCGACTGAAGAGGTTAAATTTTAACCGTTTCACGTTATTTTCCGACCATTTTCTAAGAGTGGGGGAAGGAACTAGGCGTAGGATTAGTTTTTTTTAGTTTTTCCGGATATTTCTGAGCATCTCAAGCGAAGATAATAGTTGTCAAGTGTGGTATCATATCAAAGGCCCATAGGTCGTGATTCCTCTTCTAAAACAAAAAAAAATCGGTGTCGAGAAAAACTGGGCTAAATTTCTTCGTTTTAGACTAAATTCGATGAAATTTGACGAGAGGATGACCTTTCAAGTTTAGCTAAATTTTAAAACATTGATTAAAAGTTTTTTTTTATTTTTAGTTAATGCTTTGTCTTCTGTTTTTAGTCTATTTCATTTACCCTTTCTAGAAAAAAACACAGGAAATCTAGACAACAAAAATTGCAAAAAGTTTTTCTTGTATTAGTTGGTCTGCGCTATTTTCACAGCAAACGTTTATCCTTGTTAGATATTAGCATGTTTTAACACCTCAACTTACCGCCTCTTCTTTCAAAAAAAAATTCCAAATTATATCGAACAAGATCTATTCATAAGTTTCTGGTTTTTTCGCAAAAAAATTCAACTACAATTAAGGTCAGAACCTTCTGTGCTACTTGCGCTTCAACCGTTACCCTTGTATTATTATGGAGATAATATGATTGTTTTAGGAGCTCATCGTCTGAGTTTGTGAGTCTGTCGAAGGAGTTGGCCCGCCCGGGGGAGCTGAGTCACTCGAACAGTTTCCCCTTCGAGTTCAGAGAAGTGGAGAAGCCGTACGAGACATACTATGGAGCCACAGTGAAGCTCAAGTACCTGCTACGAGTCACGATCAACAAACTATTGAGTACGTATGGTGTATTCATTTTATGTCTCTTAAACCACTCGCCCATCTAGCCTATTTTTAGACTTAATTTCATTCAAATGTATTGCACCCGAACTTTCAAATTCAAAATGCGTGGTGACAAGAAAGTTTTTGTGGTTGCTTGCAATTGGCATCGAAGTCGAATGTTAGGGAAGGCGGCGTGGCTCTCGGACCGTTTTCACGATGCAAAATACGAGCGGCACCATCATAGCCGATGCGCCACAACGCCTCAAAAGAATTAGTTTTCAAAGAGTTTTTTCTTGCTCGAAACTTGATGGCAGTTGAATCTTAATTATGGCGTTGATAGATGAACGGCGCAAATTCAACAAACCGCCATATCTGGAAGCCAAAATTACATCAGAATTACGTAACAATTGCATAACAACAATGACAATCAGTTATTACGTTGCATAATAATATTATTTTTCGGCTTGTTTTGAATGGTCATCTTATTTTATTTTCGGTTTGTTGGCCCTCCGACTTGTTGGCCTGCTACCAAATAAATTGCCCTGTTGTTGAAAATGGGTATCTTTAAGACCATTTATCCACGGGGGAAAGGACCAACACAAGAGCTGTACAGCTCATCACGGCGAACCGCTGTTGTGCCCCTGTTTAAGAACTACATGCAATTTTTTTTTTGGTTATTTTTCTGGGCTGGGTAATGTTGCTTCACCCTCAAGCAACAAGCACGGATCATGGTGGGCCTCGAACATCCGACCTTTCGATTGAGAGGCGGAGACGTAACCACTTCACCACCGCTTACCTGTTGTTGAAGGTAATATAACGAAGGAGATGGGCATAGCTGTGCATGCGATGAGCTTCTACCCCAACCAGCCGTCTGTTTCTGACCCCAATGCCAGGACAGAAGTGGGAATAGAAGACTCACTGCACATCGAGTTCGAGTACGACAAGCCCAGGTGAGTTCAGGACTGAAATTAGAGAACACATTGTCAATTTTGAAGAAGATTAAGAAATACAAGAAATGAATACTTTTCACCTACGCGTTATATTAAAACCACATTTTTTCACCTAAGCATTATATTAAAATATAGCGAGAATAATCGATCAGTTTTTTTTTACCTCGTATTACTTTTGTCGAAGCTTTTTGTGTTAGTTCTCGATTTGGCTCTTTTTCCTCCCCCTCCCCCTACCCAGCGAGTCTTAACAAATAATTACAAAATCGTTTCAAAAATTGGCAGGTGAACTAATTAGGCAATGGCAAAAAAATTGGGTCTGTATACTGAACCTTGTAAAACGTCCGTTACACCATAAATTTGAAGCTTATGTGAGGTGGGGGAAAAGGAAAAAGAGCCTTGATTTTTTCGCGATGAAATTGAGGCGTTTAGGTACCACTTGAAAGATGTGATTGTGGGCAAAGTGTATTTCCTTGTGATCCGACTGAAGATCAAATGTATGGAAATTGAGCTGCTGCGGAAGGAGACGACAGGGGCCATGAATGCCTCTGGGTCATACAACACGGGAGTGGTGGAGAGGACAGAGGTGTTGTTCAAGTATGAAGTGATGGACGGCAGTCCCAATAAGGGCGAGACAGTCCCCATCCGAATATTCCTGGCCGGCTACGATCTACAACCGACAATGAGAGACATCGCAAAGAAGTTCTCAGTCAGGTATTGTTCGGACTCATTTCCACGAATTTCAAACCTTATATTTTCGTTCTTCTGAAACTTATAGATACAAGTGGTTTGTGCGACTATGGAAGGGCTTCAGAATTTGAACTTTGCATATTTGAAGCGTTCATTTGAGCGAAGCGTTTTGATTTCACGGCAAAAAAAAATTGAGTTAAGCATTTTGGTTTCATTGGAAAATATTTGTGATCGAACTTCAAAAGTTGTTTTAATTTAATTAAACAAAGCATTTAGGTTTCGAAGGGGATGTTCTGGTTTTGTTTTAGATATTTCCTGAATCTCGTGCTAGTTGATGAAGATGAGCGACGTTACTATAAGACTAAAGAGATTCTCCTCTGGAGAAAATACGACAAGTTCTACCGCAAGCTCCGAGGTGTCCAGGATTCCCCATCGTCGGCAAAAGCTCCTCACGATCCCAGAAGTATGTCGGCTTCTAGTTCCCGAGACTTTAGTGCAATGTCGAATGCAACAAAGACGCTAGCAGCTCCACTTTTACCGCAATCGGCAGGGAAAGGCTCAGCGAACGGAGTGACAGCTGCCGTGTACCCGACGAATGAGACCGAAGATCCGAGCCGTCAAGTCTCAAAAGTGGAAGTTTTCGACGAAAAGTCATCAGAAATGTCCAGTGAATACCTCAAAGATGTTAAGTCTTCAGGTCCTTTAAATGATAATTGCAATGAAGTCCCTAAAACTGACAGTGTTACTCAAAATGGGGGAGATAATTAGAATGATGAGATGATTGATTACAGTAGTGTTGTGCTTACAGTGGAGATGAAAATTTTTAAATGCGTAAATTGTTTAATATGTCCAATTTGTTGAAATAAATTCTATTTATTTAGCTTCTCTATTTGTGTAAAAAAACGTCAAAACACTTTAACTCTGTTTTGTATTAGAATTTGCATCCGAATTAAATAGAATAATACCATCGTCAAATGTTTTTCGAAACTTAAAACGAGGCTCTTTTTATGCGTATTTAAGAGTCGGTGAACATAGAGCAAACTCTTATATAGGTCGCGATAATTTTTTGTTTCGATTTTTTTTTCAGGAAAAGTCTTTAAGTTTGTTCAGGCTCAAATGTACTTTTAGTGATTTGACTTTTGATTTGTTTGTAAGTTGTTCAGTTCTTTTCTTTTGTTTAAAGGAAGGCAAACTCCTCTATCGAACAGCAAAAGTGTGTATGTGTATGTCTCCAAAAACGTGAAGTAAAAGTGAAAAAATTTACATATTAATCCAGTTTTCTCAAATAAGGTGAATTTTTTGAAAAGGTGACAATCATAAATTGTTCTAGAAATTCAAAGATTTTTAAGAGCATCATTTTTATTTGAATTTCAAAAGTTGAGATTTTGTCAAAAAGCAAGTCGTTTTTTTTGTCTGTTTAGTTGTGTTCATAGTTTCTTTTCCAACTGTCTGTTGGCTATGTATAAAAGTTTCACTGGGAGAAACCTGATTATTTCTTGTTTTTGAAAGCAACGTGTAATCAAATGGTGGCAGTTGTATATCCCAGCATTGTTCTTGTTTTTGCATTCAGTAAATTGTCGCCATATAGATCGAGAATTTTTTGGTTAATTTGCACTGTAATGTGGTGTTGTATCGCAAGTGGTGCGAATTTGCTTTGCCTTTTTGTTGTTTTTTTTATTATTTTTATGATTATTATCTTATGATTATTAAGAGAAATGAATGTAGTAATTACTTTTACTTAGGTCTTCGTGTTTGTTTTTTTTTAGCAAAAAGGCTTGAAATTTGATCACGCTCAATTTTGATTTTAGCTGTTTGACGTTTGATTTCTTCTTAAGTTCACTTCATTTCCTTTGTGAAAAGGGAGGCAAACTCCCTTATAAAACAGCAAAAATATAAAGGCCACGAAAAACGTTATCGATCTCAATATAGCTCGCAATTTTTTTGAAATGCGTATTTTATAAATAATTTGGCTTTATGCTTTCAAATTTATTGCATGCAAAATTAGTGTGGATGGATGCCCTCAGTTTGTTATGTTCCAAAGTTTTTCATGCTAAATTCTGTCTTTTTTGTATTTAGTGCCACTTTTGCTGCATCGCATTTGTGATTAATTAGCTTATATAGCTGCTTTTTCGTTAGTGTTAGTATATTGCCAAGGGCGCTGATGCGAGGATAGCGCACTCTAAACATCCTGGTTTTTGAATCGAATCCTCCCTAGCTTTTCTTCTATCGGCTTTTCGCCTCTTTTTGCGTTTTTGGAAGATAGGTATAGTTTTTCGTGTGTGTGTGTGTGTGTGTGTGTATGTATGTGTGTGTGCATGTGAAAGTCCATAAATTTTAGTTTCAAATTTTTATTTTCAACGTATTATTTTTGCATGTTTAAGCTAAATCGTGTATTGCTATGGTTAAGATTCTTTTGAATTTTCGAATTTAAATTCAGTGTTTATTTTTTTCAAGTTTGGAATTAGATTAGCAACTCAATAATGGGATGCTGTCAGGATTCTCCCAGCTTTTGTGATTTTGGCTCCATATATGGATAACCAATCCTTTTAATTTACGAGATACGGTAATTTTCGAGATTTTTCATATATTTCTAGAAAATTTAATTTAGAAAATTTTCTCAGTTTTTGAATTTCTTACCTTTTAATTGGGTGCTGTCAGGGTACTCTCAGGGGTTGCGAATCTTGCCTCCAAATCTCTTTTCTCAACTCTTTAGTTTTCGAGATATGACGTTTTTTTGTGACTTTTTCGAAAAATTTCAAAAAACGTAGGTTTTTAAAAATTCCAAAAGTTTGAAGATCTCAATCCTGTTGTTGGAAACTGTGAGGGTACTGTCGGTGGCTGCGAGTCTTTTCTCTGAATATGACTGCTCAAATCCTTGAACTTTTCGAGATTTGACTTTTTTTGGATTTTTTCAAAAATTTTCAGAGAACTTAAGATAAAAGAAATTTCACAGAATTTGAAAGTCTCATCTCTATATTGAGGCTGTGCCAGAGTTTTCTCAGGAGTTGCGAATCTTGCCTCCAAATTTCACTTCTTAAATCTGTAGTTTTCCAGATATGACGTTTTTGGTGATTTTTAAAAAAAAAATCCCGGAAAATTTAAATTAAAACTCTTTTTTCTAAATTTGAAATTCTTAACATGTATAGAGGCTGTCAGAGTAATCTCAGGGGTCTCTAAGGTCTCCCAATTTTTTTTATTGTTCTAGATACGACAATTTTTTTTGTGATTATTTTCAGTGATTTTCAGAAAACTCAAATTACAGAATAATTCAAAATTGAAATTCCCAACCCTGTACTTGTATGCTGTCAGAGTACTGCCAAGGTTCGCAAATATTGCTTTTAAAGAAGACTGCTCAATTTTTGGTAGTTTTCCAGATGTGCCGTTTTATATGGTTCTGAAAAAATGTCTTTTAGGAATTATCTTAAAATTTTGAAGTTCCCAACGTTATAGTTGAGTGCTGTAAGTGTACTCTCAGGAGTTGCAAATCTTGCGTTCAAATGCGACTGCCTAATTGCTTTTAGTTTCCGAGATGTGACGTTTCTTAGTTTTTTTTTAAAGTTTGTCAAAGAATTTTTATAATACTTGACAAAATTTTATGGTTTTTCAAAATCTATAGTAATAAAACTTGAATAAAAAGTGTTGCAAAATTTGTAATAACGAACCCTGTAGTTGTGTGCTGTTAGAGTTCACTCAAAGGATGCAGATCTTTTTTCCAATATATGTGGTTTTATAGGAGTTGTTAAAAATTCGAAGCACCGGAGGTGCGTTACACGCTAGTTATGTTTAAAGCCGAGTTTTTGTGGATTTTATTCCTCAATGTTAATTCCATTGGAAACAAACGTATGAAAGTTTGATACACTTACTTATTTTTCGATATTTTTTCTTTCTTGTTTTTTTGTTTCAAGAAAAGTCTTTATGTTTGATCACGCTGAAATTTGATTTTTTTTTATCACGGTTTGACTTTTGATTTTTTTTTTTCAGTTCACTTCATTTCTTTTCTTTAAATGAAGGCAAACGCCACTATCGAACAGCAAAAATATAAAGGCCACGAAAAACGTGACCGACGTCTAATTTCGAATATAAAAATTATTTTCCCGCGAGAAACTTATTTCCGAGCGAAATAAAAGGTTTACCTATTCATCCAGTTTTCTCAAATTGGGTTAATTTTGTCAAGAAAGTGTCAACCATAAATTGTTCCACGAATTTAAAGAGCTCGAAGGCCATCTATTTTTTTCTTCGAAATTGAAAAGTTGAGGGTGTTTAAAAAAACTGTCAGTTTTTCAGTTTCCTTGCGTTCATTTCTCTTTTTCAACTTTCAGTTGGCGATGTTTTTTCGGCATGAATGAATTTGTAAGTTTTTCCGGTATTTTTTTGCGGACTTTCGTTTGTCTGCTCAAGTAAGAATTAAAATTTCTTCACATTTTTATATTCTTCAAATTAGCGTGGTTTTTTTTGTACGTGGTGGATAATTAAACAATACAGAGGCTTAAAAATTTAGTAAATTAGGCATAAATGACAACAGTTGTCTTCAAAAAAAAGAATAACAAATTTAAAAAAATGACAGAAAAGTTAAAAAAAAAAACTAAAATTTTTTCTATTTCCCGAACAGGTTTTAAATAATTTTTTTTAAAAACAATTTCTTGCCAGGGAAGTGCCAAATATAGCTTTCAAAACTAGTTTCCGTATGGATAATTTAAGTTTAATCAGCCTTATTAATCAATTTAACAACTATCTAAAAATCATTCAGTCCGAAATTGGACGAAAACCAAAATTGTCAAACCGGTTTTTCTCGACACTGGGATCTTTTTTGGAATTTTCTTTAAAGTTCATGAGTTTTTATGTTTTTTTTCGCTTAGTATATTTTCGGCTTTGTTTTTGTTCGTAACTTTTGTTCCATTGCTAATTTAACATTCAGGTTATTTGCTTGAAATGTTTGCCTAGTATGAGTTTTTGATTAGACCTGGAATTTGTTGGTACACCTACTTTTCAACTTGTTTCATTTTTTTTCAACTTATATTTTTTCAATCTTTGCGTTGTAACACAAGTGATGCGAAGCTCCGCTTCGCTTCTGTGTAATAAAGAGAAATTCAGCGTCCCTGTTGCCACGTTTGCCTCGGAGGTTATGTCCATGGCTGGCACTACAAAGATTTGAGTCCGGCGTATCGTTTTTCTCATACTTTTTGGCCTAGTGGCCATAGCACTGAATATAATGGTGTTATTTTAGCTATTAGTACTTCATGTTGTGGCATTTTTACCTGGATCGATTGTGTGTTTCTATAAATATAATAGGAAATTTGGAAAAAAAAATCAAAATGATTCAGTTTTTACACCGAAGAGTTTAGTCAAGGTGTTATGGTATCGTGTAACGGTTTTTTTTTTTAATGTTGTCTGTTGTCAAGTGTCGACAAATAACGTCCACAGTTATCAATTATCATGTGGGCTGCACTATATCGCGCTGTCACGTGATTGCGTATGTTTGTTTCTTTATTTGTTCATCTTTATTTATTTAATTATCTGTTCTTCTATTTATTTAATTATGTTTAGTTTGCTTATATTTATTTATAATTTATGTATGTACATATTTATTTTTGTTTATTTTTATCACGTGTTTTGTTTATTTATTTAATTATTCTTTCTTTCATTTAGTTTTGCTTTTATTATTTCTGCGTGTGTATTTATTTAATTTATTTATTTTCATTTATTTATATTATGGGTCTGTTTGTTTGGTTATTTGTTCATATATATTTTTTCATGTCTATTTAATTATTTGTACATTTCACTTTTGCTTTTATTTATTTATTTATTTATTTATTTATGTATTTATTTATGTATTTATTTATTTATTTATTTATGTATTGATTTATTTTTTTATTGCTTATTTATTTATCAGGTGTGTTTTGTTTATTTGTTGATATTTATTTCTATATTTATTTAATTATTCTTTCTTTCATTTAGTTTTGCTTTTATTATTTATGTATGTGTATTTATTTCATTTATTTATTTTCATTTATTCATATTATGGGTCTGTTTGTTTGGTTATTTGTTCATATATATTTTTTCATGTCTATTTAATTATTTGTACATTTCACTTTTGCTTTTATTTATTTATATATTTATTTATTTATGTATTCATTCATGTATTTATTTATTTATTTATGTATTGATTTATTTTTTATTGCTTATTTATTTATCAGGTGTGTTTTGTTTATTTGTTGATATTTATTTCTATATTTATTTAATTATTCTTTCTTTCATTTAGTTTTGCTTTTATTATTTATGTATGTGTATTTATTTAATTCATTTACTTTCATTTATTTATATTATGGGTCTGTTTGTTTGTTTATTTGTTCATGAGATATATATTTTTTCATGTTAATTTAATTATTTGTACATTTCAGTTTTGCGTTTATTTATTTATTTATTTATTTATTTATGTATGTATTTATTTATTTATGTATTGATTTATTTTTTTATTGTTTATTTATTTATCAGGTGTGTTTTGTTTATTCGTTGATATTTATTGCTATACTTATTTAATTATTTTCTTTCATTTAGTTTTGCTTTTATTTATTATTCATGTATGTATTTATTTATTCATTTATTTATTTATGTTTATTTATTTTTGGTTTGTTCGTTCATTTGTTGGTTTGTTCGTTCATTTATTTATTTATTTAGTTAGCGTCTTTGTTGTTTGATTGTGAAATTTGATGTTTTACTACTTAGCTATGTAGTTAAAAGCAAAAAATGATTTTCAATTTATTGTTCTGTTTAGGATATTTTCAGAAAGATCTGTATATCACCAATTAGCGTACAACGATTTACAGGGAACGCTGCCAACGAGATTTGTCCACTTGCTTTTGGGTTGCAGCTACATCAAAAATGATTTTAAATTATTTATTTTAAAGATTTATCTATAGTTATATCTGTCCGGTAATTAATTTTCAAATTTGCTTTTGTATTTCTCAAAAAAGAATTTGTTGGAGCGTGGACTCAATAACGTAAAGCAAAATGTTAAATTTTATGTTACTTCTATTTTCAGTCATGTAATGGAGCCATTTCGACCCACGGGCATTGCAAATGATAACAACAGTTGCTATCTCAATTCTGTTCTTCAGCTTTTGTTGTCAAGCGCTTGCATCAGAGATCGGCTCATTAGACTTACTGAATTTGACCATGGTGGCGTGTTAATTTCAACTGTGAAAGAGATATTTTGTCAAATGCTGTCCACAGAAAACTTTTTCATCAATGCGTCTACTTCCAAAGTTAAAATTCTCCAGCATCTTGATTTGAATTACAGCTTCTCATATACCTATGGACATCAGCACGATGCTTCCGAGGTACTACTGTCAATTATCAATGCATTTAAATCTGAGGGCCAATGGAATTTCTTTGAAATATCGTATTCAGATAATTTCACGTGTTGTCTGTGTAATGTGTCATGGAGAAGACCTGAAACTACTTCTGCGTTAGTTTTAAGTCCTCCACGCAATGGTCAACTTCTGCAGGAGCTTGTGGTCAATCACTTCGCCAACCAAGCCATTAATGTAACATGTCCAAATTCCACGTGTATCTCAGAAAGGGCAATAACAACTAAAGAACCAACCCATATTGCAAATACTGTTATTTTGCTGATTGCGCGTTACATGTCGAAGAGATAAAAGCCTTGAAACCAGCTCGCGTTATTCTTGCTGTTGGTGCAAACGACATGTGTCCCCGCCAACAAGATATTGTGTTACAACCAAGCATTGCCCATACCGATGCTTCTCTCGCGAGCTTGGCAAAGGCCACACTTGCTATGTTGATTATGTCACTTGCTTCTCCTCTTCGCGATGCTGGCTTTGAAGTCCTGCTCCTTTGGTAACATTTTCATAAAATGACTAATTCAGTAATAATAATAATGTACATTGTTCATCAGGTATCGGTTTTGCTGTTTTTTTAATGAAGTTTAGAGAAAAAATAAACTACATTGTATTTTTAGTCCAATTGTTCGCAAGGACTTTTACCGTGAAATCCGCGCGTTGGATACAGCCATCAAGTCTTCAGATTGGTCATTTATTCCCGTTGGACTATTGCGCTACACACATTTATCTACCGATGGTGTTCATTTGTCGCAAATGGGCTGCCTGAATTTGGCGAAATTAATTTGTGAGAGAGTATCCTTAACTCTTTTGACATCTGCCGTGGTAAATACTTTTTGTCTATTTTTTTTTCTGTTGTATTCCACTGAGCACTTAAATGTCATAATTTTATTTTTGCAGCCGTTTACTATCAGCTCATCTTCAGTGTTTGGCGTCTCTCAAATTTCCCTTGACGTTTGCAATAAATCTGTTTTGAGCATAGCTGATTCCCTCTTTGCAGAGCTTTACAAATCATACAAACAGGAATCTTGGACACATGTCAACGGGCGCTCTGTCAAGTGGATTTCAGAGGTTCCATACTCATATGGAAGCGTTCGCCACCCGCCCAACAACTCTTGGTCACCACAGTTGTTGTTGTTAAAGACCTTGTTGGAGAAAGAACTCAAAGTTTCCTTCAACAGTGTCCTCATCAACATTTATTGTTCCCTCGAAGAGGTAATATCACAAAATACCGTCATAACAATTAGATAACATAGAAAATGTACTTTGCCTATCAGTATTTTTAGGGAGTTGGATTTCACGCTGACAACGAACGTGGTATTCCTGATTATCCAACCATTGCCAGCGTATCCCTTGGAGCCACCCGACGCTTTGCAATGAAAAGAAACGGGACCACGCGCTCTGAAGTTTCTGTTTTGTTGCCACATGGTAGCGTTTTTACCATGCTCGGAGCTTGCCAGAAAGACTGGAAGCACAGCATCTTGAGAGGATCCACTGCACCCGATGGATCGTTTGAGAAATGGAATGGCGTCCGTTTAAATTTGACGTTCCGTAATCAGTTTGACGCTGAACGTTGAAGTTTTATGTCATTTTTATTACTTGCCGGTTTTTGAAGGTTGAATTTGAACTTGATTTCGTGGAATACTTAACTGATATCTTTACCTGATTGAAGTTTTGTTCATGAATACCAACATTGGTACATTTTTCAGATCTGTGTCATGTCTTTGCAAGTATTTTTTTTGTTTTTTGGATTTGTTTTTCGGATTGTTTTACTGCTACATACTGTCAATTCTGAGACTGCTTCACAATTTCTCAATATAATGACTAATAGCTTTTTTTCATTTTAGCTCTTTCTTGTAAGTATATGTGTAAGTACGATTTTTAGTTATTCCGGAGACCCATATGAGTCTACATGCCAATTTATACGATTGGCCGATTGAAACGACAGGAGGCGTTTTGCTACACATACAAACACAATCTTTTGTATTTTATTATAGCTATAGAAATTGATCTACAATGCGTAAGTACGACATTTAGTTCTACGATTGTTATTTCAGGTCCTTTGTCAATATTTCAGGCTCTTTGTCAATATAGCAAAATTTTGGTGTATATATGTGTTAGTAAGATTTTTAGTTCTACAACGTTTATTCAGGCTCTTTGTCGATATAGCAAAATATTGGTCTATACATGTGTTAGTACGATTTTAGCTCTAGAATTGTTATTTCAGGCTCTTCGTCAATATAGCAATATTTTAGCGTATACATGTGTTAGTACCATTTTTAGTTCTCGAACTGTTATTTTATGATCTATGTCAATATATCAAAATTTTAGTGTATACATGTGTTATTACGATTTTTAGTTCTCGAACTGTTATTTCATGATCTTTGTCAATATATCAAAATTTTATTGTTATACATGTGTTAGTACCATTTTTAGTTCTCGAACTGTTATTCCATGATCTTTGTCAATATAGCAAAATTTTGGTGTATACATGTGTTAGTACGATTTTTAGCTCTAGAACTGTTATTCCATGATCTTTGTCAATATAGCAAAAATTTGACGTATATATGTGTTAGTACGATTTTTAGCTCTCGAACTGTTATTTCATGATCTTTGCCAATATAGCAAAATTTTGGTGTATACATGTGTTCGTACGATTTTTAGCTCACGAACTGTTATTTCAGGCCCTTTGTCAATATAGTACAATTTTGGTGTATACATGTGTTAGTACGATTTTTAGTTCTAGAACTGTTATTTCAGGCTCTTTCTCGATATAGCAAAATTTTGGTGTATACATGTATTAGTACGATTTTTTGTTCTAGAACTGTTATTCTTCAATTATTAGTTGTTCAAGTTGTTTGGTTTTTGCTTCAGTTTCTATGCCTTCGGTGTATTGCGCGTAGCGCCTATGTTTTATTTATTTGAAGCGAGAGATATGAGCAAATAGTCAAAAAACTTCCACCGAGAAACTGTTTAGGATTTTCGTTCGGCTTCCTAGTTCTTGATGAAATTCTGGATGTTCATCTCGTCGCCAAATTCCGATAATCTGAGACACGGCCAGTCAGGAGTGTGGCAGAGAATAATAAATTTCAATACTTGAGATGAGTCCAACTTCGCGATTTTTTTTCCATTTCATCTTTTGTTTTTTCATGCCTTACTCGCTGTTGATTTATGGTCTATGCTTTTCTCGTTGGGCAGTTTTGAAGCGATACTCTGAATTACGATTTTTTTTTCGTTTGAGTTGATTTGGTTTTTGTCTGGCCATTATGTTTTTTTCAAGATCTCTGTTCGTTGGGTATTTTTTTTAATTTTGGGTGTTTCTTTAGCTGCATTTTACTATGAATTTGAAAAATTTAAAGAAATTATTTGGTTTTTTTTTTCATTTGTAATTTTTCTATTTATTAATCGCAAGTTTGACAACTCCGCTTCGCCCGTGTTATAGACTAAAAAACCAAAGGTTAAAATTCAACTTTCTGATATTTGCATTGCATTTCAGGTTTGCAACAATGTTGTATGATAGAACTGGCCATGTGTACAATATTTGAGCTATCGACGACTGATCGTCTTATAATTACCTCAACTTATTTTAAATCTTTAACTTGACATTCATTCTCCGATTGTTACTTGCAGCTTATGAGCGATACAACAGGTAATTGCATATATATATATAGTTTGTAAAGAGTCCTTCAGCAGCGAAAGCCAATTCAAACGCTAGAGCAATTCTTTGAAATTGGAGCTGCAAAAAACTTTGAAAAATTCTTTGTAAAAGTATATTGAATGGCTTCGAGTAATTTCGTAAATCTAACATTTGATAAAAGCTTGAGTTTAAAGTCAAGTTTGTTTCGAACAGTGTGACAAGAGTATTATGTGTCATTGTTCCATTGCAATTTGACTGTTTAAACTAGAAGCTTGCGACATAAATTGGAAATGGCAGATTCGGAAGTGCTGGTGGAGGCGAACTCAGATGTCCCCCACAACACGTCCCTACCTCTTCTGGCCTCCCCCGGAGAACGGAGTCTGGTAGTGTGTAAAAGTGGCTACGGGAGGTACCATTCCAAAGTGCAGTTGTTCACACATTCCTGGCTCCCAGAGGATCCATCGGCAGTCAAGTAAGTGCTATCGCTTCGTAGTCGCTACATTTTATACAATGCTCGGTTGTGACTTTCCGGCTTGAAAATATAATCATTATTATATTATCAATTATCATAATATTATTTTAATATCTAATATAATATAATCATCTTAACTAAGGCGAAATTAGTTAAAACGACAGTTAGAGATTGGAACATCTAAAAGGGAATGAAACGTCTAAAAAACGACACAGTTAGGCAGCCATTGCTTCTTCGGGGACTTTTTGAAGACATTTAAATAAGAATAAATAAAGTCATAGCAGATGTTTTCACTGCTTTTATTTTAAACAATTGCGTGTCTGAATTTTTTTAAGTTGTAACCAATCAGATAATTGCAGATTTTTAAAGTCTTAATATCTTTTTTATATTATCATGTCCTGTGAGGTTGTTTACCTATTACCATGAATTTCAGAAGATTCACCATTTTATCTAGTTTGATTACTCTTTTTTAATTGCCTGAATTATACGAACATTCGTATTTTTACGAGACATCCAAAAGTAATGGCTTTTGCATGCTTATAATATGCCGCAATGTTATCTTGTCCAATTATAGTAATATATGCAAAAAAATTCTAGTTTGTATCCAGCTGCTTTCATTCACATTTTCCTTCTTGACTTTTATTTGTTTTTTAAACCAGCTTTTAGATTTTTATTTGGTGCCAATATAGACAAATTTTGACGGCATTTATGGCTCAATTTCAGCGTTTGCCTGCGGTGCAGATTTTTTGGTTAAATTGGATTTTTGTGGTTTCAAGTGAAGGCTCGTTTCCTTCCCGCCCACCTCACTTAAACATCAATTTTCGGTGTAACGAGTTGTACAAGGTTTCTTATGAAGATCAAATAGGTTTACCGTTTGAGTGACAATTCGTAACAAGCGTCGATTCGTAACAGGCGACATTTCGTTATTTTCTAAAAGGAGACTTCGTAACAAGTGACGATTCGTATCAAGCGACAATTCGTATCAATGTTTTGTTTGATGTTCAAAAAGTAAAAGGAACAACTGAAAGCTTAATTAACATAAAAAGAATTAAAGAAATCAAAAGCAAGAAAAAAAAGTAGTCCCTGTAGTATTTTGTTAACTCGGTTGTTCTGATAGTTTTGTAGTATCTCAGACAATCTTAGCTGCGCTTTTTCGTATTTTGCCGTCTTTGATACCTCCTCTCAGGATCTTATTCTCACGAGCTTATTCTCAGCTAAGCTGTTCTCGCTGAAAAATTCAATGAATATGTAGATAGTTGGGTGCTTACAGCCCATTCCCACATGTAAAGCACGATGCCAACCTTACGCCGAATTACTTGTCATTTACTTTTGATCTCGCGCGCACATGGAATGATTGGAGAATTTTCGCCCGATTGATCGTTCAGGCATTTGAACCCCAGCTTCAGATCAGATTGGGGGATAAGTGCCAGCGCAATGAATGATTTAATTAGAAGTCGCAGTGTTTTTTTTCGGATCTATAAAGAGGAGTTTAGCTGAATTCCTGAGTTTTTCTCCAACGTGGGAAGGCTGAATTAAAAGTCATTGATCGATGGTTTTTTCGAAACCGACCAAAATTTTGGCGGGCTCCAGGCAAGTGTTTAGCTGTTTCAGCTCTTCAAAAGCTCGCAGATATTACTTTTGAGTCTTTCGTGTTAAAAGAAAGTAAACCATTGGAACTGTCTGTTCGTTTACTACAGCGTGTATGGTAAATACTTGATAGAAGAGCGTGGGGCATGGTTCAAAAGTTCCACCAGCATGCCAAGTTGTGTTGCTCTCCAAAACAGCCAAATTTCTTCCCTTGAGAAAATCAACATGCGGTCAGCGCCAAGAGGCCCAGAATCGTAGTCTAGAAAAGTATCCACCTTACCGAGAGAGTCAACTGATGTTATATCGCAATGTCTTGTAGAGTAGCTGGCGCTGATTCGGTGAATCTTTGTCGCTGAACAGTTCAGGCTATTGATTTATATTTCGGCAAATTTGTCACCGCCTCCTTTGGGGCGTCCCCAGTAAACTGTTTCTCAATTTTGATTTTGATTGGACCCTGTGAACTCAAGTTCTCTTTGTAAAAGTTTTCTGGTGGGGGAAGAAAGGAAAAGGAGCCCAGGAGAGCTCAAAACTAAGTTTGTTCAACCGTAAAAATTAGACAATATTTTGAAAATTATTTTGAAATTTCAGAGCCATCGTCTATCTTATACATGGACTACACGGACACTGTGTAGTGTTTCACGAGATGGCAGCTCTCTTTGTGCAATATGGTCTGGCAGTCTACTCCCACGACAACTACGGTCACGGGAGGAGTGCGGGGGTGAAGGTGCTACCTCCAGACTTCAATTTCTACTGGCGCGATGCAGTCGACCGCATCAGAGAAGTGTCCAGTCTACACCCGGGAGTACCAGTGTTCGCTTTTGGACATTCTCTGGTTAGTCAGTGAATTGGCTTTGCGTGTAGCGACTGAAATTTGTAAAAGGGTACGGTAGTAGGTAAAAACAGAATTTGGAAAATGAGCAGTGCAGAAATTGAAAGCCCGCCTTTTGGTGGCTTATATGATGGAACTTATGGTGGCTAAGTGGGTTGGGCGCGCGGCCTTTACCACAAAGATCGTGGGACTACTCAAGGTGGGACCGGCTAGGGCGAAATGGATAAGATCTCTCTCCCCCGAGGAAAAAAGCCCAAGTTTGAATGGTAAGAGCTGGGCTAAGTGCTAATTTTAGAAAATTCAAGAAAACATGATGGCTCTAGCTGGTGAAGATGATGGTAATGTTTGATGGTAAGCTGCTGAAAGTTGTACTTAACAAGTTTACTCATTCGTCTGTTGAACAAATGAAGAAAATTGTTTACGGGTGCTGTTCTGTTGTGTTGTTAGGGTGGCCTGATAGTGGTGGATGTGATGCTGGAGTTGCAGAAAGAGGCGAAGCCACTCTCTGGTGCTGTTCTCATGTCCCCCGCTCTCGGGAAAAACCTCAACATGTCTAAGCTTAGCGTCCTCGTAAGTTACAATGTTTAATGACAAGGAGACGGGTCTGATCTAGACATTGAACTTAATAACGAGCAAAATGAACACATTTTGGCGGGTATTTGAACAAATTAGGTGGTAAACGAATAATTGTTTCACAACTTGCTTGCCTTCAAATTGAACGAAATATGACTAACTGCTGTAACAAAATAGCATCTCAATATTCGGCTAATATTTTTCTTCTAATTGGGTGCCTTGCTCCTGGGACACGTCTCCTTGTCATTCACCGTTACAGTACACTCCTTCATTATGATAGAAGCAAACCCCTGTTGCATTATTACGAGTTCTTTTTTTTGAACCTGGTTTTTTTAAATTTTTTTGAACCTGGTTTTTAATTAAATTTTTTTGAACCTTGTTTTTTATTTTAATTTTTTCAACCTGTTTTTTTTATTTAAATATTTCGCGGTTTGACTTTTGATGTTATAAGTGCAATTCAAGTTCATTTGCAATGAAGGCAAATTTCACACTCTATTTGCGAATGACCAAATGGCGCAAAAAGCGTGAATGACATTTAGCTTCGAAAGTAGATTGTTTTCACATTTCCCAGCTGAATTAAAAATTTACCTATTAACCATTTTATTCCTAATTAGGTTGTTTTATGAAAAAAAGTGCAAATCATTAAAGATTCCTGAAATTCAGAGAGCTTTATCGTGATGTTGTTTTTCTTAGAAATTGAAAGAAATAATTTTTGTTTCAAGGTTTCCGATTGATTTTGTTCCATTTTTCTGTTGGCTTCGTTTTACTAAGATTGTCTGTACGATAATGCTGATCTGGGCTCGAAATTCAAAATATGTTAAACCTGTGATAATTTTCCTCTAAATAATGATTATTTGAAAAATGATAGTTTGAGATAATTACTGGGTGCCATTTACAAGTTTCTCAACGCGTATCGTAAGCGGTGCATCATTCCGTATCAAAAAATGATCCAAAGTTTAATGAGTGGGCAGTGTAGGTGCATTCTTGAAGTTTTTAAGAGTAATGAACGTAGTGGGTACTCTTATATAGGTCTTGCTGATTTTTTTTTTCAGGAAAAAGTCTTAAAATTTGCTCACGCTCAGTTTTGATTTTTCGCGGTTTGACTTGTGATTTTTTAAGCTCAGTGCATTTCCTTTGTGAAAAGGAAGGCAAACTCTACTATCGAACAGCAAAAGTGTAAAGGTCACGTAAATGTGATCGACTTCTAATTTTGAAAATGGAAATTAATTAGCAGATTTATTAAATGGAAATAATTTTTCCCAGCGAAATAAACGTTTTACCTATTGATCCAGTTTTCTCAAATTGGGCTAATTTTAACAAAAAAGCGTCCATCATAAATTGTTCTACAAATTCAAAAGAGCTTCAAGGCCATCTATTTTGTTTCTTCGAAATTCAAAAGTTCAAGGCTCTTGAAAAAACAAGTCAGTTTTTTCCAGTTTCCTTGCGTTGATTACTTTTTTCCTACTGTTTGTTGGCTATGTTTCATTAATTAGGTGCTTCCAGATTTTTTAATTTAGCTGCGACTTCGCCTCTGTGTAACGTTTGACGTGATTCTATCTTTTGTAGACATTTTTTTGATGTTTCAGGAGTTCCTGGCTGCTCCTGTGAGCAAAGTGCTGCCGTCATTCCCTGTACCAACTAATCTCAAAGTGTCAAACTTCACAAGTGTAAGAAAAAAGGTATTCCCTCCATGTTATTTTATCGGCAGCCTTTAATTGAGAATTCAAAAAGGGACCCTCGTTCAACCGTTTTTTATATAGATTATTTGTGTATTTAGTTTAGCTCAGCTCATTGACGCCATGATTTTAAATTTGGGGAGCTTCTTTTAGAGAAAATATGAATTTAATTGTTTATGGTGTTAAAAACAGTTGAAAGGGAAATTGTTTGGCGTAAAAAGAAGGGCTCGGTTGGTTATGTTTCCATTTAGCTCATTTATCAAAATTGTATTTTTACAATTGTATTTAGCAATTAGAGAATCTAGAAGACCCTCTGGTGTACCATGGCCAGCCAAAATTAAAACACGTGGTGATGATAACAGAAGCGATGGACAAGATTCCCGCTAAGACTCAACAGCTCAGTACTCCCTATCTGCTAGTGAGTGGAGATCGGGACGTCATAACTCCACTGGGACCCATGCGCACATTCCACCAGACGGCACCGGACAAACTGGACAAGTCTTTTAGGGTAAATTGAATTTAAACCTTTCTTTTTTTTAATACATCGACTAGAAAAATGAACAAATTGAGAAAACTCTAAATTGAGCGAGGATTAATGGAATTTGAAACAAATGGTAAACGCAATGGGTTGCATCACAATTTTATCCAATGTCACTGGAATTTACTTTTTGCTTTCTCCCTTTTTTCGATCAATTTTTCAAACTTAATTCCAATTCATCTGTAATGTTAGAAAGAGACATTTTTTTTTATTATTATTATTGGGATGCTTGCAATTGCTTAACTTCTCAGTTTGTAGGAATTCGGTTCTCTTTTGCCCACTTCTTAATCACGCGGCATATGTATTCGACCTGCGGGTTGGCTGTATTGCGCAGCAGCGTCAGAACTTCTCTCAAAGTGTCTTGCGGTTCCTGACCGGCAACTATTTTCTGGAACACTCCCACACACGCTCCACGTTTACCTTCCCAGTACTCGGGGTTTGGGTCGAGTCTCTCAAGCACGTCGAAGGCTTTCGCAGAGTAGTAAAACTGACCCATTTTGTAGCAATCGTTGGCAATCAGTTGCAATAAACTGAATGAGTCATTGGATGTTTCCATTTTGAGATACAGCTCCCAAGCGTGACGTGGTTTCTGGTTCATTATAAAACAGCGTGCGAGCCAGCTCAAAAAGACGTAATCGTTTTTTATTTTGTCATTTTGAATCAGGAGCAACAACTCTTCGGCTTCTTTGTAGTTTCCAACGGCTGCTTTCGCTTGAGCGTAGTTGAAGTTAAACGTGTCTTCGCTGTAGAAGTAGCTCTTGACTGAGTTCAGATAAATTAGAACGTCTTCAAACTGACGAAGCAAGAAGAAACACGACGCCATGCATTGGCGTCCAGGAATAGTATCGCATTCACTTGCGCTGCCTCCAACCAGTTGGAAATACTGCTGGGCTATTTTGAGGTGTTCCTTAGAACCCTGCTCTTGACCCATAGCTGCATTGACCACTCCTTTCAGAATATACTCATGGGGAGTCGTGGGTTCCAATTCTTTGATCAGGTTGTAAGCCTCGTTTATGTTTTCCTGTTTCAAATGAAAGATAACGAGGTTAAGTCTGGCCTCGACAATGACGTCAACAAGCGGAGGTAAAACTTGCAAAGCACCGTCTCCGTTTTGAAACACAACCATGTTGTGCTTCATGATTTCCTTGGCGTAAGTGAAACTCCGAGATGCTTCGGATTCGAACTTGGTCAACTCGGCCTCAGCTGCTTTTCCGTTGTAAAGTCGGTAGAAGTTACATGCTCTCAGGTTGACAGCAGTCGCGCTGTTCGGGTAGTTTGACAAATAAACTGTCAACACTTCTTGACTGACATCATAGTAGTCTAGTTTGTAGTAACACAGAGCTATGTAGACATTCAACGCTGTGAATTCACGATTGTCCAGTAGAATCCGTTTGTAAATGTCAATAGCTTCTTGGTAATGGGATCTCAAATAGTGAATAGCAGCTAGTGATAATTGATCTTCCTGTACGTCCTGAAGTTGCGAATGGTACGACATCAATTTCTGTTCGTCGCCTTCTTTGTGCGCCAAATGGAACAGAAGGCGATTTTTGAGTCGTTTGTGTTGCTCGTCTGTGAGTTTGACATTCTCAAACGCCTTCCGACTCTCCTCGTAATGGCCTAGGAAGAAACAGACGCAGCCGAAGTAAACTGCATATACACTGTTAGGGTTCTGTTTCATTAGGTCCTTATATATTTTGTAAGCTTTGACGTAATCTCCAAGATGGAATGAAATGTAGCCGATCCACTCCAAAGTTTCAGGGTCGATTTTGTCAGGATTTTGCTGGAACTCAACGAGGGTAAGAGCGCCGGTGAAGTCTCGTTTCAAGAGCAGGTCGTCCCGTTTGGGAAGTGATTTGCCACTCCCTTCGCGGCTCTCCGTTGCCTCTGTTTTTTGAAGTGCCGGTTTGGCTCGGGAAAGAATCATCTCAAAGCGCTCGTAAGTTATAGATGGTAAGATTAATGTTTTCCGTCGAAATTGAAAGAAAGCGTATCTTAAGCAATGGTATGCGTTTGCAGTTTTCTATAATGACCAAAACTTATACGTTGATTGAATACAGTCTATGTGTTTTTTTGCTCTGCGATTAGAATTATATAGAGGCACGTGTTGTTTTACATAAAAACGTTGACGTGATTCAGCTTGAAAAAGAGCAGATGGATTTGCTTATTGGTTTTATGTAAAAATACGCGAACTAAGTAATTTGGCATAATAATGTCTAACTGAATGCTTATGTTGACCTGTTCATTAAGGATCTTTTATATAATCTAATTAACTTCTTGTGCACTCGAAAAGTTGTTGAATGAATAAATACTGAAAAATTACATCAAATTATTTTGAAAAGTTACATCAAGTTTTAAAAGAGAAGGATTTTTAAAAAAGTGTTTTTTTTTCTTTCCCCATCTGCGATTTGTTTTAAGATTTTTATGTTCACACTGTCCATTTATTATGAAAAAAGGCATGCGGACTAATTAGGCTATGACAAACAATTGTTGTCCCGACACTTAAAAATGGGGAGAAACATTGTATTCGGGTGTGTTTTAAGTTTTTCTCTTTGGTTTGTTTTCCACTCAATGAGGTATCACAAATAATCATAGCAATGGGTTGTGTGATATATCATACTGCAGCTCTTTCAATCGTGATTCGAACGGCTGTTGAAAACTTTCAACTGAAATTGTTTTCCAAAGATTTTTTAGCGCCATCTGCAAATCAATTGAAAAAAAAAAATGTTCGAATTTGTTTTATGATTTCTGTCATTTTTTGACAAATACTGTTGTTGAATTTGCCTATTTTACTATGACTGTCAAATATGGCTTAGTTCAAGGCTTTCATTCAGATCCTTTTATAACACCACACACAAAATTGACTCTAATTTGAAAAAAAGGAAACTTTTTTATAGATTTTTTTAAGAATGTTTTTTTTTAAGAATGTGGTCGGAACATTCTGAGCTACTTGCACAGCAACCGGCTATCCTCGTTTCAGTTTGATTGTAATGCATTATTGATTATAATGTCTCTGAAGGGATTACGTTTTATTGAATAATTCGTTAGATTCAATGGCAAAAAACGGAACTCGATGCAATGTGCTTCTATTTCCGGGCAGCTGTCCGTAAGTTCTTGAATGTTCAAAAAACAAGTATCATCTAATTTTCAAGTGTTCTGCTCAAAATGATTTCTATCCAACTGGTTTTTATATCAATTTTTCCTACTGCACTTGCTATGAGAAGTGCACCGCCGCTCCTGTTCACTGCCGGAACGCCCTGCGATGCGTCGAACAGAAATGAACCTCTGAACCCGCTCGGAGAATACCAAACCAGTTGGCCGACTCAGTGTGACCTGCTGTGCACCCGCTTCTCACAGGACGGACACTCATACCCCTGCATGTCGTGGACCTGGTCTAAACTCACAAGTAAATGCGCCTTGTATGATGTCGCGGTGGGACAATGTATAGATACTTCAGATTTGCATTCAACATGGGCGGCAAAAAGGTACGTCTTGGATCGGAACCAGCATCTGCAGAACGGATACTCATATTCAACTGGCGGTTCGACCATCAGGATAACTTGGGAGGTGTGTTCAGATATGGACCATGAAACGAAGTCAGCGACTTGTAACACGGACCATTTCGGTATCTATGTCACTTACGAAGCACAGCCGATTGTTACTGGCGCCCACAAGATGTATAACATGTTCCCCGAGAGTTCTCTAGCCACTAACGACGAGGTTTGGAATCGGACTGGGGAAATTTGGATGTATCGAAGGAGTCACGGCGGGTTTCAGAGGGCGATCAAAAGGTCAAGCTCCGAAGGGCTGTACGGATGTGTGTTCCCTGAAGGATTTGACCTTTCAGAGTTTGAAGACGACCTGGACCTAGATGAAACAGCAGGTGTCCATTTGTACATATGTATGGACCAGAAATTCTGTCCTGATTTTGTGAAGTTCGATATGTGTTTTGTCGAGTTCAACGGATGCCACCCGAAGCTGAGTGGAGATTGTGGTCAAGGCGCCAGTGTTTTGTTCACGTTCTTCTCCGCCTGGGTTCCTGAAGCGCCACCTGTTAAGACTTTCTGATACGGCGCTATATAAATAGCATAAAATAACGCCAGTCTTTTCTTAGAGCCATCTTGGGAATAACAAATTTCAAAAATTTTCTGCCAAGAAAATGTTTAAAAAATTTCTTGTATTGGTTTTAAAATAGCATAAAGTATTGCCTGTCTTCATTGGCTGAGCCGCTCTCTTTTTATACTTCTGTGGAACTAAGTTTTATTTAGTACCCAGCCCGTGTGGTGACTGTGATAGAACGTCCAAGAAGAACATTCAAAAGCTGAGGTTGTTCATAAAGCTAAAGTAATCCTTTTGTCCCGTTTCGCGTTTCATTATTTCATGGTTTCTTATCTATAACAATGAAAACGATTGAAATTTTTTCGGTAGTTTTAGTAGCTGTCGCTTGATTGGCGATGCATTTCTTCTATAGTTGGATATATTCATTTTATGCTATTTTATGTATGTGCGTAAGTAACCGGCCCTAACAATCACCATTTCTGAGCAAATTCAAGAAAAAAACTTGATCTATTTAGAAAAATTGAATAGAAAATGATTCTGTAGTTTTTTTGACTGATTGCGTGTCATATGAATCAAATTGCGTTAAATATTTTGTTCTTACTTAAACTAATTTTACTTGCTATCAAGCCCTGGCGCTCACAGGTTTAATCTACCAGATAATAAAATTGCGCTTTAGAATGGACGATATGCTCACTTTCTCCATACCTGTTCTCATTAGCTGTTAATTAACTGTTGTTCAAACTCAATTTAATGATAGTTTTTCACTTTCTCAAAACATTCAGTTTTCTCAGAAACTTCTTGTATCGATGGGTGTAAAAGATGTACCTGCATATTCCTCTTGTTAAGAGTCGATGAACGTAGTTTTTGATTACACAGTTTGAGCAAAGTGTCCCTGCAGAATCGGTTCTACTCAGTTTTTTCACAAAAAGAGTCCTCGAGAAGATCAACTTCGATTTTTTTACCGTGTTTTGAAAATTTTTGATTTTTCTCGAAAAATACCATCCCAAATCCTTTTGGATTCAATGGAGAGAACGGGTTATGTGAACATACCTGCATTAGCGGCCACGCTTAAGTTTGTTCACAGAAAAAGTTATCGTTCTCTAAAAAGTCGTTTTTTGAAAATTTTTCACTCATCGAAAAGTTAAAGGAAATTTTTATACTTCTGAGAAAACTCCAAATTCTCAAAAAATTTCACTAATATATAGAGGAACAGGTAAGGTTTTGGTTGAAGCCCAATTTTGAATATTTCAAATTACGTATTTCATCCCGCACCAGTACAACAAACTCGCACCAGTACAACAAACTCGCACCAGTACAACAAACCCGCACCAGTAAATCAAACAGGTACCCCCAGCTGCAGCTGGGCTTCCTTGTCAGGAAAGCGTAGTTGTAAATTATCGGCTTTTTCAGGGCCTTATTTCTACTGTATAATTACGAAGGCCTTTCCAAAAAAAATCCCGGAAAAATATATATATATTTTTTTTGTAATTCACATCCAATTAGGGCTTGTCCTAGATCATTGAAACATTAGCAAGTTGTACCGTGTTATCAATCTAGTTTAGGCAGATTACGGTTTTGCTTTATAAAAATTTAACATTAATTGTATTCGTTTATTTCAATTAGTTTTTCTTTTTAAATTTTTCAAAATCTTTAATCTTTAGTTATGAGACATTTTATTTAAATTAGCTGTCTGGTCGAAGAACTTTAATTGAATTTAAAGTTTAACTAAAGCTTAGATACATTATGTATTCGGGAGAAGTATGTTTTATTAGCAGCCTAAGGTTTCTAAATTTGTTATCCTTGAGGGTTATAGACCAGCCTTATCCGTAGTTTTTCAGTTTGAAACTTTGCTTAAACCAATTTTCTTTCGGCTCAATCAGAGTAGAATTCTTTTATTATAGTTACGTTATTCTACAACTGCATCATGACTTTCTCCTATGCTTTTTGTTCCGACTTTTGTAACGAAAGTAACGGAATATTTGTGCTCTGGGTGATTTTTTTTTTCTTCAGACAAGTTTCGACTTTTTAATTAAAAAAGATTTTAATTCAAAAGGTATTGCTGGCGTGAGCTTGAATTTGAAAAGATACTTCACCCGTTATCATTTTTGCGTAAATTTTACAGATTACCATTTCGGCCAAATTGAGACAATTAACGCGCGATATATTTAGCGCTAATAACGCTTCAGTGGAAATTTAATCCGTTTTAGAAATAGTTCCCAATTGCTTGAAGGAACCTTATTTGCCGTAATTGGTTTGTTACTAGGAGCGAAATCTATCCATTTGCATTTTATAAGGCATGCGAGGGGGATGGTTTTGAAAAAATATATATATTTTATTAAACATTCAAAAAAAACATTGAAAAAAAAAATATTTTATTACATCGAATTTTGTGATGCTATTACTTCCATAGACCCTAAAAAGCAGTTGGAATTTTCAGGGCTTTGCCCTGATGCGATAGGTATTGTTTTGGACTTAGTGATTTTGTAACTTGAAGCGGTTGAAATCTCAGAGTCCTGCAATGGGGAGCGGTGGTGAAGTGGTTACGTCTCCGCCTCTCAATCAAAAGGTCGGATGTTCGAGGCCCATCATGATCCGTACTCGTTGCGTGAGGGCGAGGCAACGTTACACAGCCCAGAAAAAATAACCGAAAAAACAACATGAAGTTCTTAAGCTGGGGCACAACAGCGGTTCGCCGTGATGAGCTCTACAGCTCGTATGTTGGTCCTTTCCCTCGTGGATAAATGGTCTTAGCAACCAGGTGTATCTTTGGCAAATTGTATCAAGTGGTGTCGCAGGATGTATCAGTGCTTATGTCTCACCGTGGTGTTTCCAGTGAATGTAAACTCAGATGAAGTGCTTAGATTATAGTACTTATTGTTTGGCAAAACAGTCTTCAATGACTTCAGTAGTGTATTGAAGCTTCTTTCCTCCTTCTGAAAAGCCAATAACTAGTTATTGTTGACTTCTTCAAAGGGGCAGCATACTCGTGAAGAATTACTTCGATTGGATGTCGATTTCATCTCATTGGTAGTTAAGACAGGCGAGCTATCACTTGATGTTTCATTTAAGGCTTGCCACAGTCTGACATGAGCTAAATGAAATTTGATTTCAATACTGGTTCTAAATTGGATATGAGCAGCATTAAGGGTTTTAGTGATCGGAATCGGAGGGTTCCCATTGACATCTATCATCCGCCTTCTCAAGGTTGTAACGGCTACTACGAAATGGGTAACACCAAACTTTTCAAATGAAGTAAGGATCTACCTGCAGTGAAAAAAAGCATTGAACGTTCTTCGCTCGACAAAACAACTCATCCACGATACGATTTGAAAAACAAAAACTATAAAAAATAATAACTATGTTAAAAAAATATAAAGTCCTTACTATTCACAGGAACCAAAGTTCATGTAGCCGACACGAACTATGGAGTTTTGCGCAATTTTAGGTGCCCAAAAGAAAATTTGTAGCGTGTTATGTATGGTATCATAATAAAGCCATGTTGCTTGTGATTCGGCTTCCCAACGCTATATCTAAAAGTTCTTTCATTGCCGAGAAGAGATGGGTCTCGTTTTCTGCGAAATCTTAAATATTTGCAAAAGGTTTTGATTTGAGGAAAAATTGTTCTTTTTTCAAATTTGAATTATGTTGTAATTGATGATTTTTTTAATAAAAAAAGCTATCGGTTTGTTCATTTTTATGTGGTTGGAAAATTAGGTGCTGTTTGATTTTGTAGGTGTATGCTGGAATGCGACACGGACTGTATCAAGAGAAGAGAGACGTGAGAGAGCGACTGTTCCAGGACATGATCCAGTGGGTCTTGGAGAGACAGAAGACGTCTTCACCAACTGCAGACAACAGCAACAGTTGTCTGCAACAGATTGGGACAGTCATAGAACACAATAACTATGATAGCAATACGACAGTCACAGAAAACAACTCTTATGCTACTAGCATTGCTGCTGCAGCAGTTGTACACGAAGAATGAGTGGGTCTTGCTCATGCGCGAAGGTTCGAATCCCTCATGCGCGAAAATGTTGTCAGCCAATCAGAATTCATTTTTTATAAACTTCGAACAATATAAGCGATAATATCAGTTTCGACAGATTAAAGGGCATTGATTAGATAAGAATTTTTGTGCATTCGGTCCTTCGCGCATGAGAATAGCCCCCAAAGAATGTTTTTAAGCTGTAAAATTGAAGTCCATATGCTGCAATAAGTTAAAATAAATTAAAGTTCCTACCTTGAAGACGCAACGCAGAGGTGATCATGTTTTTTCTATAAAAGGAGGTTCATTTATTGCTTCTATCACTGTAGCAAAGACTGCTTTGAAGAAAAAGGGTATGACTCATGCAATTTTGTTCGCTTATGCAATTGTGCCTTCTCGGTAAGAGTTCGAGTTTAAAAATGCATACAAGTTGTTATAATAAACTATCAAAAAAAACCAAAACTGGCTGAAAAAACTCAGTGGAGACAGTTTGAGAAATGAAGTCAGTGCGCAGAAATTTTTCTAAGGGGGCAGTTTTGTTAGGTCGACAAAATTGATTTTCCGAGCTCTCCGAAAATACTATAATGATCCTATTTTGACAAAAATTTTATGTTATGCGCCGCAGTCAAATTTTTGAAAAAAAAAAACAGGCTACAATGACGTTCTGAGCACTCGAGCAAACTCTTCCCTCAATTTTAGTTATATTGGTGCCAAAAGCGCCTAAAGAAAAATTTTGATGTTGGTCAGCCAAAAATGGAAAATTTTTCATGTTGGCCAGCCAAAAATGGAAAAAAATTTCATATTGGTAAATGTAAAATTTTTGATGTTGCGGTGCTCTCTCCCTATTTATATTGAATCTTTTTTCACTCTCACTTCTCTGTTGAGCCTTGAGTTTGTTTGATATAAATATGTATGTATAGTGGGATACTCCTGAGATAGAACTGGTGCGTCTATGTTTAAGTGTCTGAGCTTACAACTTAAAAATGAGTCTCGATTTTATTGAACTTTTTTGTGTTCAGAACTGTGCATAGTTATATTAAGCAGCAATTATGGCTTTGATGTTTTCACCAATTTTCACCACCGTCGAACAGCGAAAGTCCAAATGTCATCGAAAACGTGATGGACTTCTAGTATCGAAAATGAAATTTAATTTTCAGATTTCCCAGCGAAATAAAAGTTTTACCTCTTGATCCAGTTTTCTGAAATAATTTTTATCAAAAACGTGTCAATCATAAATTGTTCTAGAAATCTATTTTTTTGAAATTCGATCGATTTTTTCAAAAAAAAACAGCGCTATTTTTCCAAAATCTGAGATCTGGGGTTCAATGGATAGAACAGGTTGTGAGAAGCTCTCCTGTTCAAGCGTTTACGCCCTACTTTTCCACTAGATTTTTTTCCTTCAAAAAAATTCCACTGAAGTTTACTTGCGTTCAATGACTCTTTTCCAACCGTCTGCTGGCTATGTTCTCTTTTTACTATACATCCCTTTCTACAGCCTTCAAAGAAAGGTGTGAGGGGATTATTTGATCAGACTTTCAGGATTTTTTTTTCATTTTCTCGAAAAAAATCTTCCAAATTTGAGATATGGGGTTCAATGGATAGAACAGGTTATGAGAAGCTCTCCTGTTCAAGTGGTTACGCCCTATTTTTCCACTAAAAGTTATGGCCTCGGGAAAGTCGAGATTTTGATTTTTTGACAGTTTTTTTAAAAATGTTTTATCGTTCATTGACTGTTTTTGAACAGTCTGTTGGCTATGTTTTTTCTCAATAAAGGTTTTAGAAAATACTGAATTTAAGCTTTTAGAAGCAGCATTCAAAGTTAAAATTTGTAGAAGCAGATTTCCTTCTATTTGCAAGAAATATATAGACAAGAAGCTTGTTTAACAACAACAGTTTTAGTTGTTTTTTCATCTATGCACAAAATCTTGCCTATTCGATAAAAAATCTACATGAATGAGCATGGCAAGTTAACCGGCATACTCTTGACCCGAAAACAAGAAACGGCTAGAATTACATGAGTAGAGATCAGCCGAAAATTTTTTTTGCCTACCGTGTTGTTTAGATTAGACCGTCGAGACTGTCAAACAGTTGCTCAAGCTAAACTGGGGACATTTTTTTGACCTCGCAAAGCTTATTTCGATTTTGCTGATTTTGTTTTTCATCAGGGAATTTTCAGGCAATATATCCCAATACTTCAAAAACATGCGATTTTGAGGTTATGTCAATACTTTATTTTCAACCAAGATATTTTACAAGAAAATTAATTTAATATGAAACAATTAATATTTTTAAATCTTTTTCAATATGAAACAATGATGAGTATCAGTCTACTGAAGTCGTTTTTGGACCATCTCCAATTCTCGCCGTTTGCTGACCAAAATTTAATGAAACATTTTTTGTATTTACGGAAACTATTTGCATGAAGAAGATATTTCATCAATTTTAAATTCGTTGGTTTATATTGTGTAAGGTCCCCCTCTTATTCTTACAGACATATCAATTCTTTTTTTGTTGCTGCTTAAGGTTGCACTCAAAGTTTGAGCTCAAAATTTACATTCGAGAAAGAGATTATTTAATTTAATTCCCATATCATCTCACTAGTATACTGTTTTATTTGTGATGAAAGAGGTCGTATGTTGAAGAGTAATGAACATATTGGATAATCTCAGTCTCCGTGATTTTGTTTTTTTTTCGGGAAAAAGTCTAAAAACTTGGTCGCGCTCAATTATGATTTTTCGCGGTTCGACTTTTGATTTGTTTTCAAATTCAACAAATTCAATTCATTTCTTTTGTTAAAAAGAAAACTAACTCTATTTTCGAACAGGGAAAGAGTAAAGGTCGCAAAAAATATGATCGACTTTTAGGTTCGAAAATGGTTTTTTATGTTCAGATTTCCCAGCGAATTACAACTTTTACCTAATGATCCAGCTTTTTCAAATTGTATAAATTTTACCAAAACGGTCAAACCTAAATTGTTCGTGAAATCCAAAGAGCTTTATAAGTACATACTTTTTCTTTGAATTTTTCTAAAGTGACGTTTTTTTTAAAAAAAAAAACTAGTCTGTTTTTTTTTTGTTTCCGTCCGTTCATTACTCTTTCGAACTGACAGTTGGCTATATTTTTCATTGAATTGTAACAACTGCGTTGTGTTTCTAATCAAGTACCCCAAATTGAATATTACATTGAATTTTTAATTCAAGCTGTTTAACTAGAAGTATTTTCGAGAAGTAGGTTAACAAGTATGCAGCAAGCGGTAGAAAAGAAGAGATCAAATTAACTAAAATTTTTGAGAAAGTAGGCTTTTCTATTTTGATGGGGTTCATAAACTGGAGAAGTACAAATTGGCACATTAAATCTGAATTAACTGACTGAAAAGCCTGTAAAGGCAATTCAGGTCATTGTTCACATCATAACGAACCCATTCAAATTTGAAACTTTTTTTGCGACGATGCGTTTGTGTTGCTCAAAATGATATCCGTGCTTGCTTACTATGTCAAGTTTCATTGCTGGCTTAATTTTTAAGAACTTTCTCAATTCGGTCATAGCGCAAATTGAAAGCAGCTGGGACGTTTACTTGTCGCGTAAATTTAGTTATGAGAACCCTCTCCCTAGCAGATACATGAGTTTTCAAATAAGGCGAAGTTGAAAATGGGTATTGGGAAAAAATTATACAAAAAATCATTGTATATCTGCACGAATTGTACTGCAAAACTTGGCCGTGCTGCTATAATTCATTTTCTGCTTATAATGTCTTCGGTTTTGATCAGCAGTCATTTAGCCAATAGGACGTCCATCGAATCTGATTGGTTAAAAGTTGTCCATCTTTCGGTCTCTCCATCTTTTAGCAATATCATTTATCGGTCAACGAATCTGAACGAAATTAAATAAAGTAAAACTGCTCATTTCGACGTTGCATTTCTTGCTTTTCGGTTGCATAGCAAAAATTAGACAAGTCGTAAAGTAGACACGTCATAAAGTAGACTACTTCTACATTAACCAATCAGAATTGAGAACAGGAAGCAAAGTTAGGTGTTAATAAATAGTTAATATTTATTTCCTAAGCTTACTTTCTGTTCTCGATTCTGATTGGTTTAAATAGTATTTGTCTACTTTTTGATTGATCGGTATTAAATAAAGATTGTCCACTTTTTTGACCGAACTCCCTGTTTTTCATTGATTTTCCAATCGTAAAAACCGTGTTCAGAAAACGAATTAACCTAAAATGGTATCGCTCAAAGTCACCAATATTGCCAACAATTTGGCATTAACTATAAATTGTGCTAGTCTGAAACCTAGTTTTTTGAGCATAGAAGACGGGGTTGCGGTCGGTGGTCCGGATTGAAATTGTCGTCCATTAAAGGCAGATATCTTTTCGGCTAAGTGTTGAAAATTTACAACAAAAAGAAATCAGATAAAACAACACAACTTAATCAAAATGTTTTTTTTTTTCGATGCAACTTTTAAAATAGTCGAACGAGCTTAGCTTTAAATGTACCATAAAATTGAATCCTCTGCTGTGTTAAAGTTTCTTTTCATAGTTTTTAGTAAGTGTTTGCGTAACAAACTTGTACGTAATACATGGCGTAACGAAAACTTTACGTTGGTAACAGAAAGCCAACAAATAAGTTGATATATTACTGATAGTATTATTAATAAAGATGAGCACTTCAAACAACCGTGGACCCACTGGTAATGGAGCCGGAAGAGCTGGCAATGAAGACGATGATTTAGACGAAGATGAAAAGAATTACGTATCATCTTGGTAAGTCCATTTCCAACATATTCAGCAGATTTTTTTTTCTTTTTCAAGTTTTGTGAACCAGAATGAAATGTTTCGTTTTACTAAGGTAAGCTATGGCTTGATTGTTTCTTCCAGGTTTTATTCGTCTAGTTAAAATGTGATAATACACTAGACCTTGGTCAATCAAGTGATGGTTTGCTAAGACTACCTGTCTGTGCAGTCTTTTTAGCTTCGTTTTTATCGATTCTTTGAATTCAACGTGCTGTGAATAGTTCAAGAATAGTATCGGAGTTTCTTCCAGGTACAAACAAACACAAGACCGAATGGAATTCCCGAAGGTCAAAGCTGTCATTGCCGCGCAAAGATTCAAAAATCTGTTGGCAAAACCGAAGCAGCAGCCGGAACCAAGTCCAGAACCCTCCCCTGAGCCTTCACCGGAACCAAGTCCAGAACCCTCCCCTGAGCCCTCGCCGGAGCCGACCCGAGAACCAACTCCTCAACCGGTTCGGGAACCAACTCCTCAACCGGTTCGGGAACCAACTCCTCAACCGGTTCGGGAACCAACACCGGAACCCGAGCCTACGCCAACTCCCCCTCCCCAACCAGTGGTTGTGAAAGTCCCGAAGAAGAAGAAGAAGAAGAAGCCACAGAAGCGGATGCCAAAAGAACCGGCTGATTCACGGGAAAATTTGAGATATATTGTGAGTTTCGCCTTCGACAGCATGTTCAGAAACAAATAGGTCATCGAATCTTGGTTAGATGAGCAGGAATATTTTCAGCAGCATAAAGTTAAGGTGAAAGTTTTAATGGGCATTCGCGGACCTTCTGAGAAAAGTTATCAAAGTACGTTCAGTTAAGTGAAATCCGTTTTTACAGGACCAGTAAACAGAGTTACGTAATGATCGAGTAACGTAATGGTCATTTTAATTGTGAAATTAAAGGTTTTCAAAATTCGTAGTTCCCAAGCTAGAACCAAAATCCTATCCTGTAAATATCGCATAAGTCATTTTTTGTTCCGAAAATTGGAAGTTGGGAGGAATGATGTCTTCGGGTGTGGTAGATTCAGGTGACAAAAATAATTATCGGAGTGAGTCGGGAAGTTTTTAGGATATTGAAACTCTTTCAGTTTGACTCGAACGACATTCAAAAATTTTGTCGCAAAGAAAGCGTTTTGGCAGTGTCGCGAAATAACAAGTACAACAAGTTGAGAAAAAAATTTTTATGCTTGCGACTAGCAAGCGTTGTCAAATCGGAATTTAGATTTTTTTGGGGGTTAACAGCCAGTTTAACAAAATCAGTTGAATCACTTGCTGATCTGCTTCTTACTATGCTGATATGTTGCTGACATGCTCAATCTCATGAAAATTCTAATTTAATTACTGAGAGCCATTTTTTACGGGTACATGCTATATATAGAACGCAAGTCATTGTATAAATAAATTCGAGTTTTGATATTAATTTTCTGCTGCTGGTTTTTCGGCTTCATAGTTGTCGACTTAAGTGCTGTCGGTTTACTTTGCAAATTCTGTTGATACCCTTGTTCATACACTACTGAAATAGCTATCGTGGATCCTATGTGGGAGTTGCATTCATTTATGTACAAAAAGATTTTTTGACGAAAATTTTTGGCTGAGTTTGAATTCTGTCGGCATATTTACATTTCAATATTTGGATGCCTAAAGTCAAACGCACTAGGACCTCTTGAATATTTTTAATCAATTTAAACATGAAACAAAATACTTTCTTAAAGAACGTTTTTCCACATTCTTCTTCAATTGTAACATCGTTCGAAGTTCTGTTTGCTAATTGTTGAGCTTCATGGTGCTTTCATGAGCACTTCCGCCCTCCAAGTTTTCCTTGAAGTTGTCAAAATTGGCTGGAACAAAGTTTCAAAACAGCCTTATCCATAGTTCTTTTCCACGTTTCGAGACTGGTTGGAACAGGAACCTTTTTAAAAATGTTTTTGTTTTCCAATCTTCTTAGTTATCAATTAAATGCTCACAATTTATCAAAAGTTTTTTTTTCGGAAAGTCAAATAAGTCAGTTATTATTCCAAGTATTATTTTCATCTACCAGATTTGATTTTTTCGGATTTATGATTTTCATCCTGAAATCTGTCGGCGAGTTTTCTGTTTTTATTTTCGAATTATTATTTTGTTTTGTGGTACGCTTTTCAAGCATTTTTTGTTTAAAAAAACATGTATTTTATAATTAGAGGTTCAGCTTGTGTTATATAGGCTTAACTAACTTATTTTGCGTAGATTCATTGGCGAATTTTTTTAAATGCTTTTTCGTGTTTCAAGAGGGATGGGATGTAAACATTTTCTGTTTAAAATTTGATAGCTGTAGTTTTTTTATTACTTTTATTACTTTTTTATTTATTACTTTTATTAAACTTTGTATTACTTTTTTCATTATTGCTTTTTATTACCTTTATTATGATTTAACGAGGGTCGAACCAATTCGTGTCGCCTTATTTGACGCTCAGTCATTGATTCTCAATGCTTTTTAGAGTTTTTTATGAGCATCATTCGAGACAAAGGTAAGAAAATTTTATAGATGTAGTTTTTCCGATATATTACAAATAAATTTTTTTGCAAAAAAACTTGGGACTTTTTTTCATTATCCTGTAAAGCAATGTTTTGATTGCATCGTGAGTGTTGCGAAGCTCCGCTTCGCCTCTGTGTTTGAAACTGTTAAAATTTTGCGAAAAATGAATATTTCATGGGCTTGAAATCATACTTTGTCATCTTAACTGCTGGTGTCTTGCTTACCGGAGATCTCTTCAATCATCAGAATTTCCTTTAGTTTCTGACTTGTAAGCTACAAGTAAGCTGAATGAAAACAGCTGTGCCTTAAAGCCCTTAAGTTAACTTATGTCATCTTAACAGCTGGCTTCTTGTTTACCGGAGACCTCTTCAATCATCAGAATTTCCTTTAGTTTCTGACTTGTAAGCTAAAAGTAAGCTGAATGAAAACAGCTGTGCCTTAAAGCCCTTAAGTTAACTTGTGTCATCTTAACAGCGGGCTTCTTGTTTACCGGAGACCTCTTCAGTCATCAGAATTTTCTTTAGTTTCTGACTTGTAAGCTAAATAAAACAGTTGTGCACATAAAACAGTTGCTACTTATTGAGTTGTTTTTTTTGAAGGAGCCATTTAAACCAAAGTTGAAGAAACGACCAAATGAGGTCTCAGAGGCTGCCAGGCTGCAACATCTGGAGAAGTGGCAGGTCGACTTTGCCACCCGATTCCTAGATGCATCCTGGGGGTAATTTAGCATGCATTTTCTGAATTTCCAACCCCTACCCCTATGATATTGACTAAACAATCTCCACTCAGTAAAATAAGACTAAGATGGCTGAAGTAGAAAAGATTACTTTGTAACTCAGCATCTGTTACTTAATTTTTTGTTTGTGCATGCAAATTGCAACTAGTATAAATCTTACCTTTAACTAGTGCCAAGAAAATAGTTTCATTCATGGTTGTAAGTATAGTATAAGAAATGTAGTAGTTGCACGTCGCATACTCATACAAAAATAACAAGTTCCGCATAAGTATATTGTGCGGCCATAATTTTAGCATTTCTGTTTCAAACTTAATTAAATCCAAAATTGATATTGATCTTCATTTATTTTGAAAAAAATGGTAGCAATAGTAACATCAGACAAAAATATTATAAATTTATAGTGTTTCAAAAAAGTTTTTACAATTGATAGGCAGCTGGTAACTGCTGGCCTTTCCGGTGTTCTTCCAGGCTGAGATTTTTTGGATAAAATTAACAAATTATACACAAACTGTTCTCGTGTTGAAAACAATTTTGTTTGTGTATTGTTATAACTGTTTCTTGTTTGGTTAGAGACCCCTACTTTGCGCGGTCAGTGATGCTGGACATGAACAAGAAGATAAGGACGAGGCAGTACGACATAGACAGGAACAAGAGACACATTCTGGAGATGCAGAAGGACCACCAGGTCATGCGGGACTACGTGAGGGAGTTGGAGGCCAGAAACACAGACCTCAAAAACAACTACATCAGAGGGGCGAGTACTCTTAAAACGGCCTACATACATTTCGCCCTTCTTAAATTTAGGGACACGTTTGCCCTAATAGCCTACACACAAAAGAATAAATGCAGGGCGAAACGTGGCACTACATTTAAGAAGGGCGAAATGTTTCTTAAAACAAAGACTTCTCATTTGCTTACTTGTGATGAAGAGTTTGAAAAAAAAATTGTTTGTCTATCCGAAATTTTGCGACTCTTTATCACAAGTTAACAAATGAGAATTCTTTGTTTTAAGAAATATTTCGCCCTTTTTAAATTTAGGGACACGTTTCGCCCCTAATAGTCTACACACAAAAGACTAAATGTGGGGCGAAATGTGTAATATCGTACACACAAAAGACTAATATCGTAATAAATGTGGGACAAAATGTGTGAGGGCGGGCGAAACGTGGCACTAAATTTAAAAAGGGCGAAATGTGCCACATTTTCTTAAAACAAATACTTCTCTTTTTTTTTGCTTGTGATAAAGAGTTGCAAACATTTCGGATAGACAAACAATTTTTTTTTTCAGAAGTCATGGACTTTATCTGAAAATAACAAATATTGTTTTGATGGTTCTTTCGTTTTAAATTATCCATTTTTGGAAAGAAAGAATTCATTTTAAAAAGCAAATGAACTATATCGGAAAATTTTGCTTGGAAAATCTAGTCAACAGCAAAAAAATCAAACCGCATGCAAATATTGCTGTCATTGTTCTTTCTTTATAGGTTCCTATTCCTTCTGAGCCGCTTCCGCCGGTACCTTTGGAGTCCCTGAGCTACGAGGAGAGGAGGGGCGTGGAGAATAGACTGTCTCTGGTAGATGACATCCAGACTCTGAGAGAGAAACAGTTCATAGACGTCGAAGTCCTCCGAGACTACTCCCGGAGACTAGGCGAGTAGAAGTGCATGGCCATTTAAATGTTATTACAGTGTTAGTTAAACGTTATATGTTTAAGTTTCGTGGTTCGAGATCAATTTATTTTTTCTCAATTCAAGTTCGCACATTTTAGAGCAAAGTTTCGAATTAAGTTTATTCGTGAATCAAGCACCATATATAAGTATATCCATTACGCTAAAGGGCCCATGTGAACAATCTCCCCCCTGAATAGACCAAGTAAGGCCTGCATGTACTATGCTCAAATCTGATTGGCTGAAAAATATTACGTTTAACCAAGTGAACGATCTCCTCCCTTATTTGATTTAGGGGGGAGATTGCTCACTTGGTCCCGCCAAGGGGAAATCTTAGCTGCCTGATATCTCGGAATTAAGTGTGCGCGGAAATGAAATGAGCAAAAAGACATATCTAAATTCGGTTAGGTGGCAAAATCGCTCGCCGTAAAATCCCAGTCCAAAACATACCTCTGGCCAAAATTGCCCAGGACATATGATCCCATATTAAAAAGAGATTACTTGATAATAAAGGAATGAAAATAAATACAGTAATTTGATCAAAGCAAAAAGCGTTGATTAAAATCAAATGAACGGTTTAATTTTTGCTGAACAAACTTTGAACATAACTTTAAAATAGCCTAGACTGCAATGGAAAGTCTATTGATTTTTCATTTATTTGAAACCAACCAAGTCAAGATAAGTCGGTACATAAATTTGGTGACGTTTTTTGTTTTCTTCAAAACTACAAAGCGTTAATATTCAATTGTCGTTTTATGTGACAAAAAAAAACGTTTCTCATTTTCGATAAGCTTTCATTTTAGCTAAATGCAATACTTGATAAAGGGCGGCCAGGACCCTATCACCAACCTACCATCGAAACCGGAAAGAGTGGTTTTCGGTTGATCATTTCCATTTAATGTACGTTTTTTGTATTTTGACTTGAGCTGGTCGTGTTTTTCGGTATCTTTTTTGTTATATATGCAACCGAAAGGACAAAATGACCCGGTGTTTCAAACTAACTGTTATCTCTGACAATGGTGATCTGGGATGATTATTTATCTCAAATTAGCTTCCGTGTGATGGCTTGCCGAGATAGCAACTACATTTAGGTAGCTCCTTCTTCTTGCCTCAAATTTAAACTATCGGCCTTGATCTGGCTATTTACCGAGTTTATTTGATGCCTGATTATCTGTTTTAGTTGCTGAGTTATTTGTCGAGACTGAACGTCCTGCGTTTAGCTCGAGGCTATGCTTGTCGTTATTTCAAATTATTTTGCCCCTAAGATAAAAGTTTTTGATCATTTATTGGATCTCAATTGCTTGTAGCGCCAATCTGTTGTTTTTTTTCTATTGCTGACTTGTCTCTAAACTCATGGCCCTCAAGTTTAAAAACAGTTTGGCCTTATTGTGGGCATACCCAAGTAAAAAATTTCAGTTTTGACTATTCATTCAGTTTTCAATGTGAGAATGAATGCAAAATATATAAGATCATAATTGAGATGTGCCAATTTAATACCATTTTAGCACTGAATTAAACACGTTTTAGCAAATTTTAATCCAAAAGTTGTGTCCATTTGATTTTGTTTATATTAGGTTTGCGTGTTTATTCATAGCGTTAACTTAGTTGATGTATCATTACTGTAGATACCTCTGATTGCTCTTTGTTCTTATGCTCCGTAGGATCTGTTGAATTGGCCAGCGATTTTGGCAATAGGATTTTTTGGCATGGTATCTTTTGTCATGAGAGATTTTGGAATGGCATCTTTTGTACTGCCACTCCAAATGCGAGCTTGTCCTGACACCGTGGATTAAAATCTAATTTCTACTAATTCAGTGTCTAGGCAGAGTCCCTTCAACTAGCCTGCCAATCAAGTTAATTTTGTGGTATTTTCTTGTCCGTATTACCAGAAAATGTGGTGCTTCAATGTTTTTAATTTTATTGAACGAAGAAGAAATAGTGGATCATTGGTGGATGATATTTTTGATTTTTCCTAGAGCGTATTTAAAATAAATTTTCTAAATAGATGGCAAAAGCGCTCTCTAACTGTGATAGAGACGACGCGTGGATTTAAGGTTAACTATTAGTTTTTGTATTAGTGGGTATTGCTTTTGGCAACCCAATCGAAACAAAATAAATTACCTATTAATCAAGTTTAAAACTTTCCTGTAAGTGTTAACGTTTCTGAAATGTGTCAGTATTAACGTTTCTGAAATTTTTGTGTTAATTGTTTTGAAGCAATTTTCTAAAATAAAAATCAAAGAGCTTTTTTCAAATTCCGATTTGGTTTTTGTTCATGGATATAAATTGCTTTACGTTTACAAGAGGTGTTATCTTGTCCGTATTACCAGAAAACACAGCATTTTAAAGCCTTTCAGCAAATGGTCAATTAATGGTGATATATAAATCAGCCGAAGTAAAACGTAAGTGTTGTATAAGAATTGTGTAACACAATTGTAACAGTTGCGAAATTCATGCAAATTTCATTGATGCGACGTAACGTTTCGGCTGGCTTATATACTCCGCGCATTTTCGGTTGGTTTATATTTATGCTGGCTTACTTACTCTCCATTTAATAAATATATTATGTCATAGGTGGACACCTTAGCAGACCGGACATGGAGGCCATACGTTACTTCGTGCCCACCCACTCCAGATTTGAGAACCCACAAATGGACGATTTCTACGAGGACCTGAAAGAGAAGTACTTCCTTCTTCAGGCCACAGTGGACAAACAGAAGCAAACTTTGGGTATTTTACTTATTCCGCCTAAAATGACTCATATTTGCATCATTTAATAAATGAGGGCAGTGTACAAACCATCTTTTGGTGCCGTGTTTTGATCAGTAATCTTATTCGAGCTTTTTTTTTCTATGCTCAGCTTTTGAGCTTAGCAAATGTGGGCGGAAAAAGTAAAAAGGAACCTAAATTTAGATAGTATGGAGGGGAGGATGAAGGCCAATGACGTCATAGGGAAGAGACAGTTGGACAAGATAGCAGAGGCACATCACAGGGATACAATTCTTTTCAACGACAGGATGGCACGGTTAGATTATAGTGCTGGATTCCCCCTACCCTTCCCTTCCCTCACCGCCAATAAAAAAAACATTTATGCTTGAACCATTAATTTTACTAGATATCTTCTAGGAGAATCATGTTTAAATTTGTCAGCACCATGCATCTCAAATTTCAAAAAACAGCCAACAATGTTAACCTAAGTTTCATTTGGTTAAAGATCAAAGTTCAAGGGTGGTGGGGGAGCGGGGAAAGAGTCTAGGGCTTTTTCCAGCACAGCTTTTAATTTTTATGTAATATTCTAATATTGTTTAATTATATTTAAATTAACGACTTTTGCAAAATTATGTTTAAGAGGACTTTTAGTGTTATAGATTAAACTTGAACATATCAGTGTAAACAAGAGAACTAGTTTTAATAAATATATTTTTTTTTTGCAATTGCATACGAATTGCGATATGAATAGTTTTTCTGACTATGTTTTTTTAATAAGGGGGTAGGAAACTGGAGAAGAGCCTATCTTCATTGGAATTTAGACCAATGTAGGTATCTTGCTTTTGACCAGGCTCGATCTACGACTATTCGTTTTCTGGGTATTACAAAGTTAACTTGACAGATGGTTACCAATATGACCAGCCGAGGGAAATAACCAAATATTACGTGTATTTCTTAATCAAGGGCGCAACTTCACCCGTAAGATGAAAACGTCTTATGTTTTTTCTTTCCCTGGTGGACAAATGTTTTTATTACGTAGCTCAGACTCTTTTGAACGTAGTTCAGACTATTATATAGGTCGTGATGATTTAAAATTACTTTTTGGCGGTTTGACTTTTGTTTTCTTTTTGAATTCACTTGTAATTTTCTTTGTTTACACTTGCGAGCTTGCAAATACGAACTTTTTTTGCTCTAACTCGCAAATATAAGTGTTCATTAAAAGTGTTCATTTATTTGGTGGCATTTTTGCTATAATCACGATCGATTGTGATTTATTAAGCGTCCGGTGGCTGAGTCGTTAAAGCGTGAGACTCATAATGTGAAAATCGCAGATCGGGTAGGGCGACAATTCGTAACAAGCGACTTCTAGTTTCGGAAGTGATTTTTTTTTTCAGATTTCCCAATAAAGCTTTTACTTATTGATCCAGTTTTCTTGAATTGGGTTATTTTTATCAATTTCATCACTTACCATAAATTGTTCCAGAAATACAAAGAGCTTTAAGGGCATTCATTTTTTTCTTTGAAATTCGAGGGCTGAGATTTTTCAAAAAACAAGGTAGTTTTTTTTCTGTTTACATTCGTTCATTGACCCTTTTCCAACAGTCTGTTGGCTATGTTTAACGTTTTTATACCTCACTTGTGAATAATTGTTTGCAGATATATGGACGCCAGGAAGCATGACCCTGTTCTGGACTACTACCAGAACTACAGATCCCTTCTGGAAGATCCCCGGCTGGAGGCCATGAGAGAGGCCAAGTACACAGAGGGATACAGGAAGTCGAAGTTGAAAAACAGAATAGACGAACTGGACAGAGAAATTACCAACTACAGAAGATCACACATTCTAAATAGAACCAAGTAGATCACGGGTATTTTCTGGTATACTGCCCGTAGCTAGAAGCACGTTAAATGATTTTCCTTCGTTTCTTTTCGTTCTGATTAATTTCTACCAATCAGATTCAAGTGTTATTTGAGATTTTGTTTTCAAAATACTAAATACACTGAAATTGGGCTGTATAACAGAAAATATCTTAACTAAATATATTTTAAATTTAAATATTGTTTATATTTGGTTGTATGAGATGAGGTGTTTATTTTGGAATTTATGTCCGTTGTTTTTTAATTAAAAAGTGACTCCGTTATTAATGGTAATATATGTTTCTTTAATTTTTCTTTTTAAAGGTTGTTCCGTACAGAAAACTTCAATTCTAAGTATCTGCAAATTGGCGATGAAAGTTTAACCCTTTGATTCATATTAATAGACCGATTGAGCAAAGAGTTCCTGTAAAGGATTAAAGTTCTGTTGTTAGCCACCGAAACAAATTTTGGAGTTACCTATTTTTCTATTCAGAAAGCTACGTGAATGGGACTTGAAAAAAATTTCGAGAAAAGCCAGCCTTGACTTTGGAAATTGAATGTGTAACAATAAACCGATTTTTTTGGTACAAAAAGTTGATTTCAGTTTAATCCAATACTTAACGCATTTTCCAAATGATTGATAGCTATATCGATCTCTGCACTTCGGTCATATGCAGTATCACAGCGCTAGTAGTCAATTAGCAATAATAGTGATATTCCTAACATTTCGGTACCCAGTCTCTATGGCGCCCGAAGAGCTATGCACATGTCAGAAATGTTTTTTATTGTTCAGACCAGTAATGATGAAGGAACTATGGCCTAAAGTATGTGTTTCGCTCATGGTTACAATTACATCAAAGCAAGCTCGTAGGACGTTTAGAGGTAATACCTTGAAAAAATTTTAAGCCGCTATTCGAGCTTCGCCATAATATTATTGACGGGAACATTCTTTGCTAATGTATCAGTGATCGGCTACTCTTAGTTATACCTGCAAAAACAAGCCATTTATGTTTTTTTTGCTTTTGACAAGCAAGCGTTATGAAACTGCAATTTAGACTTTTCGGGTTAACAGTTGTTGAATAAAACAGTTGAATCATTTGATAGCTTGTCTTGCAAGAAATTCAAATTTCCGAACTTTTTGGCAGATTTGTCTTAGAGGTAACAACTACCCCTGAGACCTCAATGGTCCGATGTTCGAATCTGGCCAGAACCTATTTTGTCACCTGGGAAGTAATCCTTTGCAAAAAAAATTTTGGGCTATCGTTTGTCTGTTTGTTTTGCCGGCATTTTCACATTTGTCTTGTACTGAAAGCCATTTTTCTTGTATATATTTTTTCGCTGTCAAGTTTTATTAATTCACCTCAATTTGGTTCGGTTTTTGTGTTGTCAGCTTAACGGCGTGGTTTTGTGTCGCTTGAAAGGAGTGGTTTGTTAATCTTTTTTTTTGTGTTCGGAGGGTGGATGAAAAAATTTGTTCGGCCCAACTTGAGTTAACCCACTTTTTTCGGCTTAGTTGCCATTCAATAATTGTTTCTGAATAGTTTTTAAAACTCGCAATTGTGTTTCTAAAGTTTGATATTTTTCACTTGCTGGCTTTCATTTTTTTTACGTCTGACTGCGCGTGTTTTTCTGTGGTATAATGAAACGAATATCTGAAATTTTTAATTTTGTAAAGTTTGAAATATTGCGCTCATTTTGATTTCGCTCATTTAGTTTTGTTGGTGAACTAACCTACATTTTGTTGATTTTGTTTTTATTTGGGTGATTTTTGTTGATTTTGTTTTTATTTGGGTGATTTTTGACTAGTGAGACTGATCAAAAAGTAGAAAGACTGGTACAATTTTCGGACGTATTTACTTCCAAAAATAGCAATTTTGAATTTTTTCCAGGTCCATCAAAAAATGTTCTAGTTTTTTAACCCAAATTGATTTAACTGCCGGCCATTCTAGTCAATGGTTAGGTTTCGACCGTGTCCGAGAAATATTTCAACCGTGCTCGTTGTATGTTTTGACCGCGCTCGCGGTGTCAGTTAATGCGCAATTGGTACATTTTTTTTGCTGGAACTGCCAACAACCTGCTCAAATAAATGATTGGGGTAATTTTTCCCGTTTTAAAATTTTTAGGAGCGTATTCTGGATCCGTAAATTCTATTTGAAAATTCAAAAAGCGTTTTTTTATTTGAAATATGCGCAGTGCCGTTTTTCCGTTTGTACTATGCACAGCGCGTAAAAGGCGAATTAATCCGGCCTAATTTTTTAAATTTTTCTGTATAAAAACCATGTTATAGCTTTTTATTGAAATTTCAGGGCTAGTTTTTATTTTTATTTTTTGCAAGTGTTTGTGATGTGCATCCACACCGCTGTGTTGATATTCTAATGTGGGCTTTCAAAAATTGGTTTTGATTTTTTCTACATGCATATTTGTAACCAAAAGGCAGTTTAAACGATGGTATCCGCTATCCGGGTCTTGCCTGATATCAAAATTGTTTTTTTTAAGTTCATGTAATGCCTTATGATTTCGCACTTAAATCCATCTTTAGTTTTTTAAAGAATCTGGTCAATTTGTAAAAAAGCATCCGCATGCAATGGTATTTACCCTATTGCAGACGAATAACTAAAAATTCATTTTAGCGACGAAGTTTTATGTTAGAAATCAGCATATATTAATCATATCAAACTGTGAAATGTTTTCAAAAATTTTGTGTACCGAGTTTTTTTCGCAGAGTATTATCGTTTTTATTTTTTTTTAAATCCTTGGGTAGTTTCAATGTTTTATAATGCAAAAAACCTATTTTGCATTAGAAAACAAGCGATTAAATTACATTAAGAAATCAAGTTCGGTTTTGTATTTTTCAGTTAATTGATAATTGTTTTCAGTTGGGTGATATTTGTTATGGATGGCTTTCAGCACTGCTCCTCAGTTTTCTACAGTGCGTGTTAATTTGTGTGATATTCGCAAGTCTCCGTCAGAAATAAAAGAATACGCCATCTCATTATTGGGACCTGATTTCGAGGCTGAGTTTCATCCACAGTACAAAGAGGTTCTCATAATAACGCACAAAAGTTACAAGAAAACTGAAACAGACGGAAATTATGGTCAAATAGGTGGGTTACTACGACACCGGGTACTTTTGGGGTGTCAGCTTATTTTTGAAGATAAATCAGAAATAAGCAATTTGAAAATTAAAAAAAAACTTTGTTGGAAGGAATAATGATTAGTTGGAAGGAAACAAAATTTGATTTTAACGGGCCTAAATAGTATTGTGCGTTGGTCGTCTTAATTGTTTTTTTTTGAACTGTAGTCACAAATTCATTATAAAATGCGGCCAAGTATACCGAACAAGCCGTTTAAACCTTGATGTTCGGATCCGTTATATCTGGTACAAAACTTAATTTTTCAAAACAGATGTTTTGAAATCAATAACTCGTGCTACTTACGTCTTCCAGAAGTTTCAGTTGTCAGAACTAAAGATTTCATTGAAGTAATTGAAGCCTCAGAATACTGCTGATCGGCATACTGAAACTAATCAGAGTAATTTTTTTTTACAAATGCGTTATTGGTTCTACCCAAAAATACCCTAAGAAGCAGCGCCGAGTAAATGTGTTGTGGTCGGCGGAGACTGCGGGAATGCAGTGTTGCGGGGTGCGCACGTGTTCAGTGTTGGAGTAGTGGCTATCGATGGCGATGCAGGTGAAGGTGATGTTGTTTCCGTGTATGCTGACATCAAAGGTGAAATGTCCCGGTAAGTTTTTCCCCGACTACTCAAAGTGTGAGAAGTAAAGAGTATTTGTTGGTGTTTCCGTTGCGTGTTGCAGGTCCCTCCACGAGAGGGCTCATAGTTTTTTGATTGTGGTATCATTATCTCGATATGATGATACTGCTTACTTAGTTTTAGCATTTATTACTTAATTATTGTTTTTTTGCGATGAGCAAGAGTATTGCAACGGGTACTTGACTTTTTTCCTGTTTACAAGTTAGCAAGTGTAGTGTTTTAGTATGACTTTACATTTTTTTTCAAACTAACTCACAAATAAAAGTGCTCATTTGGTGGTACTTTTGATAATAAACACGATCTGCAGCACTGAATGGACATTTCATAGCATCTGTTTTTTGCTTTATTTGTGGCTAGTGTTTGCTGATTGTTAAGCGTCCGTGGAAGGCCGTGAGATCAAAATGTCGAGGTCGCAGGTTCGAATCCGACAACTATCAGTCTTACTAATTCGAGTCTTAATCCTACTGTTTCTTATTTCACTTTATAGAGCTGTTTTTTTTTTGGTTTGTCCTTGTTGGTATTTTTATGAACGTAGTGAAGACTCTTTTATAGGCCGTATCGTTTTTCGTGTTTCGAGAAAAATTCGATCTTTTTCTGTTTCGAGTTTTGATTTGTTTTGAAATTCTGTTCAAATTGTTTTGCTTAGGTTACTAAAGCGCAAACAAGGCAAAAAACGTGAACGATTTCTAGTTTCCAAAGTGGATTTTATTACCAGATTTCCCTGAGGAATAAAAACAATTATGTTTGATTCAGTTTTCTCAAAATAGCTTACTTCCATCAAAAATGTGTCAATCAGGAATTTGATATGTATTTAAGTTCTTCTGACATGTATCTTACCATGTTTGAGCTAAAACATGGTAATTTTTTTACATGTTTTTTAGATATCTATCTCGCCATGTTTAAACTATCTTCGAAGTTCTGGCTATTTATAAATAGCATAACGCATGATTGATCTGATCGTGTTGAGTCAGCTGCAACTTATCAAAGCCTCAGCAGAGTTTCTATCTATCTATACTATATTTAAAAGCGAGTAACAGCTATCTCCCATGTTTAAGCATAATAATTTTGCATGTTTAAACGAAAGAGTTTTTTCATGTTTAATCTATATCATAAATTGCAATGCTAAATAAAATTTTTCAATTAGTTCACTGCAAGGTTATTAATTTCTAGAATTTTTTTGCGAGGCCAAGATAAGTCTGTCTGTCTGTATACCTGCTTTTTTTTTAAATTTAATTATGTCTATCTACCCGTCTCCTAATTTTTTTATCTATGCATTATCTATCATATATTTAAATGCGGGCTTCACTATCTCGCCATGCTTAGGATTTTTCAACGTAATATTTTTGCATTTTTAACAAAAGAATTTTTTCACGTTTAAGCTATATGGTATATTGCTATGGTTAAGTTTTTTTTTCAATTTTCTAGTTTAAATTCAGTGTTTATTTCATCGAGTTTGAAATTAGCAACCTAATAGTGAGATGTTGTCATAGATTTCCCAGGCTTTGCGATTCTGGCCTCCATATATGAATAACCAAATCCTTTTAGTTTACGAGATAGGCAAGTTTCCAGATTTTCAAAATATTTCTAGAAAATTTATTTTAAAAAACTTCTCAATTTTTGAATTTCCCACCCTAAAGTTGGGTGCTGTCAGGGTACTCTCAGGGGTTGCGAATCTTGCCTCCAAATCTCAATTCTCATATCCTTGTAGTTTTCGAGATATGAAGTTTTTTTATGACTTTTTCAAAAAAAATTTAAAAACTTAGATTTTAAAAGATTCCAAAATGTTAAAGATCTCATTCCTTTTGTTGGATATTGTGAATAGAAGAGGTTTAGGTTAAGCTTTCCAAACGCTTACATCAATTAATTTTGATTATTTTAGCAATATTCTGAGACTATGCTATCGCCATCCATGAGCAGTCTCAAAATGCTGCCAAAAGTACCCACTTTTGAATTCCAGTCAATTTTTGAAAACGATAGAGCAGAAAATGTCAAATTCAACTTTATAAAAATGATTAATCTTCTTGCAGTGTTCAGAAAGTTGAAGGGATTTTAGGATAAAGTTCGGAGAAAGTTTTTTTTTGAAAAAAAAATGAGTAGAAGAGGGTTCAGCTTCCCAACATTCACATCCATTTGTTCACCGTAAGTATCTATCCATTTTTATTGGGTCGTATTGTAGTTTATCTACAAGATCTGTGTATATCGAAAAGATCTAATGTTGTACTTTTTTTGGGAAATTCGAAAGCTAATTGAAAACTAATTGTCATTTTTTGTGGTTTCCTTGCACTCATTGATATTTTTTCCTTCTGGTTTTTGGCAGTGTTTCTATGATTTTATTTTACCTTTAGTCGCATGAAAAAAATAGGTGGTGCCTTGTGTCCTAAGCTATGTTAGAACTTGAATCCAAAGTTTTTATGGCAATGTTCAGCACTCTCAAGAAAAAAAACGACGTGACAATTGTTTTATGTCGCCGAACACGCTGACTTTTTGTTCCGATTTTCGAAGAAAGTGACGACATATTTGTTTTCTATGTGTTTGTTTCTTCTGACAAGTTTTAAATTTATAACTAGCCAGTTTTGGTTGGATTTTTATGCCCTCTCTGAAAGGTGCTGACGCCCTAATTCAAACTCAGTTCTGACGATTTTTGCAAAAATTTATAAGGGTTTTAAAAATTGCCAATTTGGGTTCATTAAGGTGCGAAATGTTTCGTGTTATTAACGCAGAAGTGGTGGTTCAAACCTGTGAAGAAATTGTTTCAAATTGAATTGAGTCAAGCTATTTAGTCTTATTAATTGAATACATTAATAGTCACTAAATACACTTTTTTTGCCAATAGTGTGTGTGGGATGATCAAAATTTTTAAAATGTTCATTTTAAACGTTAAAAAATCAAGAGGCAGAGATTTGGAAAAAGTTTTAAAACGTTCATTTAAAGTGAAAATTTTGTTTTTCTTGGTTTAGAGGCTCAAAATGCAAGAAGCAGTCTCTCGAATTAGATGCTGAGCAATTCGTATTTGTCGGAAATGGAACACTCTTGGTCAATCGAGAGGACATTTTTGGATCCATCCGTGCTCAGGACGTCAAAGGAATCGCTATAAGAATGTTGAACAAACTCTTGCCATCCCTGAACAACTTGCCTTCCGGTCTATTTTTTCCTCAGAATTTCCCATCTCTCTTTTGTTCACGTGTGGTCGACCCAAGTGGAGCTGATTGGGTCTTGGACATGTGTGCTGCTCCCGGGGGAAAAGCAGGTCATCTGGCCTACTTGATGAAAACTAATAGCAAAGAAAGTGACCCGCATTGTGGAGGAAAATTAATTGCGATTGATCGAACAAAAAGTAAAGTTGATAAGGTTTGTTGCTTTGTCTTTAAAATAGTTCTTTTAGGACCTGAAGATGAGTTTTTAAAATATTTTGTCGGCGCATCTTTCAATTCGTTATTTTTATTGGTTACTCTCATTTTTACTCGATAGTCTAATTAACTTCCAATAATTTCAAAGATAATTTTGCCACGGAATTAATTTAAGTGATTCGATGAAAGTTTCAACCCAAGGTAGGCATTGAATTCATTAGATGGAAGAGCTCAGGCCAATCGAAATGCTGTATTAGCGAAATCTTTAAGCCCAAGTGTTTGTAAACATAGGATAATTTGGGTACGTTTGAGACACGTTATTTTATTTTTCAGATGTCAAAACATTTCAAAGAATGGAATCTGGAAAACACTGCAACTGCCTTTTGTGCCGATTCATCCAAATCCGAATTTGTCAACTTGTGTTTGAACTCAAATGACCTTCAACATGCAGTTCAACTTCGGCCTCAAATGTTTGATAAAATACTTTTAGATGCTCCTTGCAGTGGATTAGGCAAGCGGCCCTATCTGCAAAGAGATATAGTAAAGAACAAACTTGGAACATTTCACACTTTTCAGCGAAAGTTCATCAAAAATGCTGTTCAGCTTTTGAAACCAGGGGGTGTGTTGGTGTATTCAACGTGCACAACAGTGTTGGATGAAAATGAAAATCAAGTAAACTGGGTTTTAGAAAATGTTTCTGATAAACTGAAGTTAGTTCCCTGTGCGCCAAACTTGAACAAACCTGGAAGGTCAAATTCAGAATTGAAGGCTGAAATGTTTGGGAATATGGTGCAATATTTCCCTCCAGACAAAACTGATGTTTTCTCTTTTCATCCTTGTGAAGGTGATACAGTTGGCTTCTTTGTCGCAAAATTTGTTAAGCTGTAATTTAGTGTTTAAACATGTTTCTTTTTTCAGACTAAAAGAGTTACGTGTGAATCTACCTAACTGATAAAAAAATTTTCTTCAAGTTTTTAAAAAATCTGGATAAAGCGCGCATTAATACCAAATTGGGTTGACTTAAGGTGAAAATTGGCTTCATCCAACAAACTTTAGGGTTTTTTGGGCTCATTTTGATATAATTTTGTCAGTGATCAAGTAATAAGTTTGGCGTAATTTTTGATTGGCTATAAAGCCAAAAATGATCCATTTTTGGGGTGAAATTTTGAGCCCGAATTTTGTTAAACAAAGTGCGCAATATCATTTCTGCTGAAATTCTAAGCAAAATTTGTCACATCGTTTTATCACCTTCAGTCAATCTTATTTGAGAAAATTGTGTTTTAAATATCAAGTTAATGCGTTTAGTCCGGATAATTTAAATCAGCACTGTATTCCTTTTATTCCAATTAGGAACCATATCTAATTAATTTCAATTTCCTAAACAAAATCTCTCTTTAAATATCTCTATTTGGTTTTTGGCTTACTTTCAAGCTCAATTCAACTTCATTTGCTGAGAGAAAAGCAAATTACTCTCTCCAACTAAGAAAGCGGAGATGATGCAAAAAAACTTGAATGTCGTATAGGTTCGGAAGTAGATTTTCATGTTTAGATTTCCCAGCGGAATAAAAAATTACATATTGCTTATAAAAAAATGTTGGTCATACAGTATTCTTCAAATTTAGGGAACTTCATCGAGATATGTTTTTTTTTAAAGTTTTCATTTTTTTTGAGCTCATTGAAACATTTCCAAATTTTCGTTGGCTATACTTTTTTTGAAGTCGTTATAACCGATAACTTTACAAAACGAGGCTTCCATGATAAGTTTATTAGACATTTTCAAGCTCATGATAGCTAATGGTTAGGTTAAACTAATATTTTTTTTGCGTTTCAGTTTAGTAATCTTAAGCAACCAGATCCACAGGTCGTGTTGACTTTGAAATCTCACTGAAAAGAGGAGAGAACTGAGCTGAAATCAAATTTGCAGTCTTGAACTCATTCGGAACATCCAGTTTGATTTTGTTCAGATGATCCTCCGTTGCCGAGTTACTGGCGAACACGAACTTTTTCGTACCATCTCTCGGATTAGATATTTCCAAAGTGATCAGCCTATGCTTATTTGTTGAATTCAGTCCTATTTTGCTGGTCTGATTTGCCAATCCAATTGCGATTTCCGAAGTCAACATGTTTCTAGTTATTGTTTTGCCGGTTGTTGTGTCTATTAGGCTAAGGTAACATTTCGGCCCCGTGGACGACAGGCATAGAGCTGTCCTGAAATCTGATTGGTCGATTGACATCGAATGGATGGTTGTGTTCATTAGCGGCTCGGTAGAGTGCTTAATGACGCTGGTGATGTTTTCCGCTTGTGTGTCGTACACATGGAATTTATTCGACTCCGCTGTAATAAACATACTTCTGAATTAGGAGATAAAAAAATGAGAAAATTGAAAATGTTTTTGGTCATGTTCTGAAAATTATATTGACCATTGTCCGAGGAGTTATTAGATAATGTACATAATCCATGAACAAATGAATCAGAGCAATTAGTTTTCCGGATTTTAGTTCTCAAACGTTTCGAATCAAAGGCTTGCAAAACATCAAGAATGTTGCTAAAAAACAAGAGCGAGCAAAAAACAAAAAAGCAAAGAAATAAAATAAACGTGCCGTGTGTCTTCTCAATAAACGTATTATTGATAAATTACAATCTTAAATATATTTTTTTTCAGTGATAAATTTCAATTTTTCTTAAAGTATTTTTTGTTCCAACCATTAAAAATGGGTTGTAATTTTGTCTTCAGGTGTGTTTTAGCTTTTTCCACGCATAACCAGAAGCTACACAAAATCATCGGAATAGGTCGAGCCATGAAAATTATTTAATTAATTTAATCGTGATTCGAACGATATTGAAAAGTTTAATTTTTTCATTTGAATGAAAATCTGTTTAACTTTTTCATTTGAGTAATTAAGTTTGCATTTGATTACACCTGTGATCAGCTTAGTGTGTTATTACGAACCTTCTTTTTTTCTAACCCAACTCGCAAATAAAAGTGTTCACTTATTTGAAAGTTTCTATGTAGCATTGGAAGTTGCATAGCACCTGTTCTCTGCCTTATTTGTGACGCTAGTGTTTGGAGCCTATTAAGCTTCCGTGGCTGAGTGGTTAATGTGTGACACTCTTAATCACCAGATGGTAGGTTCGAATCTCCATTGGCAGACGAATTTTTGTTAATTTCTCATTTTTATTATTGCACTTTATAGAGCTGCTTTTTGTCGCATTCTCGCAAGCGTTTGCGAAACGAAGGTTCGCCTCTGTGTTAATAAAATACTTAGTTTTACTCAGTGAAAAACTAGCATCGGAAGCTCAGTTTAGTGCTTCCTTGGCGATACTAAGATAGCCTGTTGCTGTGCAAGTAGCACATAATGTTCCGAACATATTCATAAAGAAACTCCTGAAGGTATTTTTCCGAATTGAAATTTTTGTTTGTACGATGTGTGACAAAAAAACTATACAAACGTGTGAAAATTTTACGAATTAGGCATTATCGACACCATTTTTATCAAAAATGAACAACAAAAAAATTGTAATTTTTTTTTTGTCTAGTTAGCGCTAAATTAGTTTAAATGTTTGTCTACGAATCGCAAAGTACTTGTCTTTGTGGTTAAATCAAGTTTTCTTAGCTTGAGTGTTAAGGTCTAATTTCTGGATCGCTTTACCCGCTCGAATTTAGAGTGAAACTTAAAAATTTCAAAATTGTTTTTCTCGACACTGGGAGAACTTTTCAATGTCAGTTTAATCACTGATATATCACACGAACCTTTCCAATTATTTTTTGTGGTATCTATTTTTGCGTTAAAAAACTGACACGCACGCGCGAGTCCAAAGTTCCTCCCCATATTCAATGGTCGGAACAAAAACACGTTTTTCGTTTTTGACGAAAATGTTTCTTTCATCACACCACGCACAGTGTCGTGTAATCGTGAACTAGCCCCCCCCCCCCGTAAAAATTCTTAGGAATTCACTTAAGCATTTAATGGCTTGATTGATTACACTTGTGAACGTAAGTGTCTTGCAATCGGGACTTTCTTCCCCGTGAGCAGTTTTTCTTACAAATCTTACTTTATTTTCTTAAATGGTTGATTAATGAACGTTAACACCTTCCAGGCCTGTTTCCATTTGGCCTAGAAGTGACATGCTTGTCTTTGCACCCTAAGGTTTGGGGTTCGAGTTCCTGTCGGACGTTGTTTGTTTGAGTATGTATGAAATTAAAGTTTTTTTCCGGTCAAAAACGAGTTGCCGGACTTTGGTTTGTCTGCTCAAAGTTTGTCGGCTTAGTTGACATATCGTGGATCTTGCTTTTGCTATATGCAATTTTGTAGTTTGAAGGGGACTTGAGTTTTTTTTACAAATTCTTTTATTTTCACCTTAACTGATGTGTGCTCAAAATTTGTAGGCTTTGTTAGCGCTTCGCAAGTTTTGTTCTTTTGCTAATTTATTGTTCAAATTTTTTGCCTGGCATATTTACCTAGAATGAACTTCTTTCGAGACATACAAAAATTTTGGCAGACCTAGTTTTTTTTTATTCTACCTAGTTCGACCTAGATTATGTCTGGTTTGTTATGTATCGCAAGTGATCTGAAACCGCTTCGCTGTGTTTATGAATGTGGTCGGAACAGTATGCGCTACTTCCTCAGCAACCGGCTATCCTTCTTCAAGTTCCTTACTGCGTAGACAATGTTGATAACAAATTTATTAAAGAAATTAAACAAATTTAGTGTTTCGTCCTATTACTCTTATTTATCATGTGCTTTTTCACTACCAACGTTTTCAAGATTTTCTGACTTATAATTTTCATTTAATCAAGTTAAAATTATTAATAATTAATTTCTTCTAATTTTTCCTTGCGTTTGCCCTCTGCCTAAAACTTTAGTCTCGTTTTAGTGCATCCCTTTTACCGTGATATGATATAGTATATACATCACATTTGAGAAACGCTATCAAACTTTCATAAACGCTATCAAACTTTCAAAACGGCGATAAGAATATTTGATTTTTTGTCCAGCTATTCTAACACTGTTTTCAGAGCTGTACCATGGGAGTTTTTTGAAAAAAAAGTTTGATTAAACATTGTTAATTTCAAGCAGTATTTTTTCGTTGGAAACTGTTTGAGATTTTAATAGTTTGATCTATTTTATTATATTTTTAAATGGTCAATACGGTTTGGGTAGTTCAATTGATTATCAACTATTATCCACTATATAGACCCAGACATTTATATAGACCCAGACTATTATCCACTATATAGACCCAGACATTTATATGAAGTAACTGTATCTAAATTCTGAATCTCAATTTGGTCAGTTGTATCGCACAACAAAATTTTTCAAAATGCCCAGAAAAACTCGCTGGAGTTTTTCGTTTTTGAGATAAATACTGATATTTGAAATATCACACTGAATTTGCATTTGAAATCTTCTGCTTTCATTAAAAGCTAAAGTTTGTAAAATATTTATAACTGATTCTTATGAATCATTTACCATTTCAGTTCCTTCTCACTAACACCATGAAAAAACTCGAAAAAGTTAAAAGCAATCTTATAATTTGCTTTGGATGGTTTCCTATTTTCATATTTGGCTAGGGAAATTCCGGCTATCCTTGTTTTTCCCCGTTTTACAGTATCATCTGGAAGAAGATAGTTTGATTTTGTTTTTCATGAAAATGGCAAAAATGTGATTTTTCGTTTTTGGCGAAAATGTTTCTTTCATCACACCACGCACAGTGTCGTGTAATTGTGAACTAGCCCCCCGCAAAAATTCTTAGGAATTCACTTAAGCATTTAATGGCTTGATTGATTACACTTGTGAACGTAAGTGTCTTGCAATCGGGACTTTCTTCCCCGTGAGCAATTTTTCTTACAAATCTTACTTTATTTTCTTAAATGGTTGATTAATGAACGTTAACACCTTCCAGGCCTGTTTCCATTTGGCCTAGAAGTGACATGCTTGTCTTTGGACCCTAAGGTTTGGGGTTCGAGTTCCTGTCGGACGTTGTTTGTTTGAGTATGTATGAAATTAAAGTTTTTTTCCGGTAAAAAATGAGTTGCCGGACTTTGGTTTGTCTGCTCAAAGTTTGTCGGCTTAGTTGACATATCGCGGATCTTGCTTTTGCTATATGCAATTTTGTAGTTTGAAGGGGACTTGAGTTTTTTTTACAAATTCTTTTATTTTCACCTTAACTGATGTGTGCTCAAAATTTGTAGGCTTTGATAGCGCTTCGTAAGTTTTGTTCTTTTGCTAATTTATTGTTCAAACTTTTTGCTTGGCATATTTACCTAGAATGAACTTCTTTCGAGACATACAAAAATTTTGGCAGACCTAGTTTTTTTTTATTCTACCTAGTTCTACCTAGTTCGACCTAGATTGTGTCTGGTTTGTTATGTATCGCAAGTGATCTGAAACCGCTTCGCTGTGTTTATGAATGTGGTCGGAACAGTATGCGCTACTTCCTCAGCAACCGGCTATCCTTCTTCAAGTTCCTTACTGCGTAGACAATGTTGATAACAAATTTATTAAAGATATTAAACAAATTTAGTGTTTCGTCCTATTACTCTATTTTATCATGTGCTTTTTCACTACCAACGTTCTCAAGATTTTCTGACTGTTAATTTTCATTTAATCAAGTTAAGATTATTAATAATTAATTTCTTCTAATTTTTCCTTGCGTTTGCCCTCTGCCTAAAACTTTAGTCTCGTTTTAGTGCATCCCTTTTACCGTGATATGATATAGTATATACATCATATTTGAGAAACGCTATCAAACTTTCATAAACGCTATCAAACTTTCAAAACGGCGATAAGAATATTTGATTTTTTGTCCAGCTATTCTAACACATTTTTCAGAGCTGTACCATGGGAGTTATTAGAAAAAAAAAGTTTGATTAAACATTGTTAATTTCAAGCAGTATTTTTTCGTTGGAAACTGTTTGAGATTTTAATAGTTTGATCTATTTTATTATATTTTTAAATGGTCAATACGGTTTGGGTAGTTCAATTGATTATCAACTATTATCCACTATATAGACCCAGACATTTATATAGACCCAGACTATTATCCACTATATAGACCCAGACATTTATATGAAGTAGCTGTATCTAAATTCTGAATCTCAATTTGGTCAGTTGTATCGCACAACAAAATTTTTCAAAATGCCCAGAAAAACTCGCTGGAGTTTTTCGTTTTTGAGATAAATTTTGATATTTGAAATATCACACTGAATTTGCATTTGAAATCTTCTGCTTTCATTAAAAGCTAAAGTTTGTAAAATATTTATAACTGACTCTTATGAATCATTTACCAATTCAGTTCCTTCTCACTAACACCATGAAAAAACTCGAAAAAGT